TTGAATTTTTCGTATTAAACGGTTCGGATGCTGTTTCATGTGCATTTTTCTTTCCTTCGAAACACGACTAGATACAAATACAACGAAAAAAAGAAAATTATTATCAATCCGGACTGTTGGCAGAACTGAAGATTTTCATATAAAATAGTGTAATATCGCTATTTCTATGCACATAAACAGCGACAAGCGCTTCATCATGCAGTATCAGACACATTATAATAGATCAGCTTAACATCTATTATCTTCGCATACGTTATTTAGTATCAACCGCAGCCATAAAAATAACTATTACCCTGAAATATGTATTGTCGCACAGTATCAATAGCATCGAAAAGGCATACTTAAACTATGGGCAACACACATTCACAACACGGTAAAGAGCAATGTGTATGAGGATGAGTGTTATGATTCTCGAAACGGGAAATTGTTTTAAATGAACTAGAAGTCCTTTGTGGCACTTATATCTGCATCGAAATGGGCATAACTGGACGTCGGATGCCCATTGCACAGGCATATAAACTTTAAACTTTCACCGGAGAGCCATTGCTTTTGCCGATGCGATGAGAATGTGTGTTGGCGTTTAAGATTGAAACGGGAACAACCGAAAAAGCCTATATATGTGCCGATGTCTCTTTTGAACTATTACGATTACACTGTGGCCTGTGTCAATTCTCTGATGAATGGAAGCAAAATGCCCCAAGTTCATTCGAATGTGTAATAGAATAGCTGCTGCTGCTGAGGCTGCTACTGTTATTACTGAAACACAAGAATTCACGAATCCCACACGGAATATATCACTTCCACACGTATACACACAACAAACACACGCGTATCAAAATGACAACAAAATAAATGAAAAGAAAAAGAGCAGAGAACAAACGAAAAAAAAAAATGTGCAATTGTACCGTGTGAGCAATGTGCGAAAAACGGAATGTAATCGTAAAACAGAGCATTACATTCGTTCATTCATTCGTTTGCCGCTCAGTTAACATACAGGTGAAATAAAAGAACCGAACCGACGATGTACAAAACGAATGAACACACAGCGTGTTCAGACAATGGTGGCAAACAAAGACAAAAGCTCTTATCGTGATTTGAAAAGCGGCGGCAAAATTTCGGTATCAAGCAGCCAACATCTGAGCCATTTCTATTCATTGTGTACGAGTGTATGCATGTTTTATGCGTTAGTCAAGTGGCAATGATGAGAGTGATAACAAAACCGTGATAAAACACTGGAAAGGCCCAAAATTTGAAACAATTTCCAAATTAATTATTAAAATTCCTTTTTTAATTACGAAATATCTATAGGGGCTGCGTTTAACGTACGAATTTCGCTCAAATTTTGTAGTTCATATCATATTCATAAATACCTGAATGATATTCACGTACATTTGAGCCAAACATTGCATGAATAACAATCAAAATAAAGTTTATTTAATAACCAATTTTTGGCTTTAGAATTAAAATGATAAAATCGGCGAGCAAATAAATTCGCCAAAAATGAAGCGAAATGCTTTTCAAAGAAGTGCTAATTTATCCACACAGACTGAATTCGCCTTTTGTGTGTACGTGTGTTTCTGTGTGGCTTATGAATTATTTAAAAACCGTTTTAAATCGTATCTTTATTATGTTACATTCACTGGCATAGACCGACTGGTATCATCAATATTTCTTCTGTCATAACTTCAAAGTTCAAAGCAAAACTCAAAATTAATTTGATGATGAATGAACGGAGCGAATGAATTTCATATTCTACCACGAATTTTGCGAATACATTTACAGTCATCCAAAATGATTAAATGTGTCTTATGGTTAGTATTTCGCCAAACGAGATGAATGAAGGGATGAATCAGCGAACGAGCCAAAAAAAAAAATAACACATAAAAATTGAGGGCTTACATTCTTTAGCACATTGCGATGTGACAAGTGAAATTTATGCTCAAGAAATAACGCAGTCTTATTACATCTTATCCCTTTCATTTAGTAGAAGAAAATATAAATTCGGAGCTTTAGTTTTGAAAGGATTTCCAAAAATGAGTCGAAAATGTGTCGGTAAAGGATTTTTTTTTCTTCCTTTTTTACAACTGGATTTCTACAGTTTCATTTCGATGTAGGAAATAAACGTATATTTTTCAATCGTCAATTTCATTTTCCCCGTGTGTTTTTGTTGTATTTTACTTTGTGCCAAACATTCAATTTAAATGCATGCCAAATGTTTCGTACACAATTTCACATTCACACATTCAGCGTGAAATGAATTGTAACGTCGAAAATCAATTCTCTGATTGCATAATACCTCGATCGGATGCAGGTGCGAACGCAGAGCCTGAAGCAAACTATTTATATTACGGCAAACGTTAAACCAGAAAAAATTGTATATGTGGCATGTTTTTCCTTAAATTAAATGATTAAAAGTTGTTTACCCGAAAAAAAAAAGTTCGATTAAGTAAATGTGCCACAAGCAGTTATTTATATCAATATAATCGAAGAAAAAAAATATAACATTTTTGTTTTTGGTTTCAATTTTGACATTGTTAAACAAACGAAACAAAGTTGCTGTATCCATATGAATTTGGTGGAAAAAATTTCATTTCCGAAAATCGTTTAACGTGGCTAAAAAAAACGGAGAAGAAGTACAGCGAGTGCTTATTTTTAGTTGTGACAACTGAAGAGCTGAATCTGTATGAATGCAACCGTGTCAACGTGAATTTGGTAATTACTTTCACTGACGAATGCATTTTTTGTTGCACTCCTTTTGACTGGATATGTTTCAATTCCGCTTAACATTAAAGCAATAAAATCGAGAAAACGAGGAAAAAAGCCAGTCGCATGCCAACCAAATAGTTCCTATCGAAGCAATGAGAAAATAATGGGTTTTTCCATTTATTAAAAGTGTTGATAAATGTTTCTTGCTGAACCAAAGACACACACACAAAAAAAAACTTCGTTTCAATTTCCCTTAGTTTGGGTTTCAATTGAACATTTCACAATGGTTTTTGCCCGATTTTCGATTTTTCTATTATTTAAGCGAAGCATTCCTTTCTTGTGTTTTTTTTCATCCCTCTTCATTTGTTAGTTCATTCGCTCGATCTTTTTTTGCATGCAAAATCCATTCTTCGCCGTAATATAGAGTGTGTATTTTGCACATGTGTGTGTAGGTTTTTGTTTGTTTCATGCCTTTTCAAATCTTGCATCGAATCTGTATATATTTTTCGGGTTTCACAGAAAATGTTTCAATATTTTTCAATTTACGCATTGCCAGTGGTAACATGGCGCAAATATCAGCACAAAGCGCAAACTAATGCTATGAATTTTTCACAAAATAGCATTGTATGTACGAGCATGAAAATCTCATTTATCGAAAAAGAGAAATCAAGAAGCTGACGATTTGAATCTGTCACCTACACACACTAAGCACATGAGCATAACCACTGGCAATAACCCACTATTATGAATGTTTGCCAGTCTCAACTTGGTTGACTTGTCGACAGTTTCCAGAGAGCACAATGTGTTTGAAATCGGCATAAAAGTTCAAACACAAGAAATGATTTCAGAATATATATATGGGGATGAGTGAATGAGAGCGAGAAATGAGAGGGACACAAAAAAGTGAGCATGTGTCGTGGTGTCTGTATATGCGTTCGAAACAGTGCCAGATTATCTACACATCGGGACGATCTCATGTGCACATAAATTGTACATACGATTTGATATACATGAACGGTTTCATAATACATATATGCAGAAGCAAAAAGAAAAAAAAATATATGAAGAAGAACGACACACTGGCAAGCATATTGCAGACACGATTGAGATACATAAAAAGCAAATGTGTGCCTTTTGCCAGTTTTTAGGTATATTTTTTTTGTTTGCCTCTTTGCTCACATCAAATTCGGTCATGATTTTGTTCTTGCAGTGGCTTAGCGCTTAAGATTCCATTGTGTTTATTATGTATTTATTCTATTTTTTTTTATTTTTTAATAACATGTCATTGAATCTTGAATACTTCTAAATATAAATGTGCTATAATACAAATACAAATACAATATTCATCTAAACCACAACACAATATCACCATACAAATTTCGATCGAAATGAAAGCGAACGAAGAAAAGAAAAGTCATTCCGTAGCATTGGATAAATTAAAAAAAAGAACGTCTTTCAACTTCCCTTCGTATGTGTGTCATTCAGTCGCACGGTGTGCTGTTTACCTTTACATTTCTAAATAGTAGACCGAAGTAATATGTACAATCGCAATGCTTTTTTATCTCTCTCTCTCTCTCTCTCTCTCTCTCTCTCTCTCTCTCTCTCCATTTATATACAAATATATTAAATGTGAGGACTGTAATATGACAGTATATAGACATTTGTCTCATCGACTATGATATCGTTATAGTAAAATGTAATCGAGTAAAGCGCACTCATCTTTATGTCAGTGCATAGGAGCAGAAGCTGAAGTCGCAGCAGCACGTGTAAGCAAAACGTTTAGATAAAAACGTATGAAGAAAAAGCAAGATTCTTTTCTGCCTGCCACACAGGCTGTGTTTGGCTCTTGAGTTTGTTTGTCATACTTTATCGAGCGCACACAAGACATCATCACATCGACCGGAATACGGACGTTTTCTCTTCTTCTTTCATTTTTTTTTTTCGTTAAACAAAATCTTATTGGCTATACGTAATATGAAAACCAAACAAAGGATGTGCCACTGCTCCAATCGCATGAAAAACACAAAAAGATGTTTCCGCTTCTACTCGAAGAAAGAAGCAGCAGTACAAGGGAAAAAATTGCCTATTTACCTATGCTCAGTGGGATAAGAAAAAAAAAACAAATTTTATAACATCCCAGTGGATGTTATTTATTCGCTTTTATTTCATTAATATTCTTCACAGTCTTTATGTTGAAAAGCACTTACAATTATCTGTCTTTGATTTTCAAATGAGAAAATCGTGAAAAAATATAAGAGCTTAAAAAAATGATATCGTCCACGGGGTTTACTTACCTACAGATTATTATGCTGACTACACTTCACCTAATGCAATTCTGCTCAATTGTCGCTTTGATGATTTTTCGAACTCGGCCAAACAGTATGCCTCAATACACTTTCTTTCTCTCTCTTTTATGTGCTCGCTTCCGTGTGTCCATCCACCAGCATCCACCTCGAAATCCGTCTTTCAATTTGTTTGAAAAGCACAGCTTCTCATATAATTCGGTTTTTATTCAATATGAATAAGGTATAACCTATAATCCGAAATCAAAACAGAAAACCAATTAAATTATACGCAACATTTGTATGGAAATCCAGTTTTAATGAAGCAAGAAAAATAATAAAATAATACGCTGAGAATGGCAGAAAGCATCCAGTTCAATGCAGATTATTTTTAATTTTAAATCGGCACACAAATTCAAATTGAAATCAACTCGAATTTATCACGTTATTAGCGAGTGAGAGAAGGACGACAGTGAAGCGTGAAGCAAACAAAAAAAAAACTGATGTAAAATCGAGGCAAAGTACAGTGGTCGTGCCATCATCACATTTCGAATGGGGTGTCAATGTCGCTTTTCTTTTGTTTCATTTTTTGCGTGACAAGATAAAATGCACACGAAACTGTTTGTCTCGGCAAAAATTTCATTTGCACGAGCCCACTTATTTCGACTTGCTATAAATTGAGGCGAGATTGAGAGCGACAAAGATGACGACGGTGCACGCTTATGTCGCTTATATTGCGTCTCGTGCTAAACTCTCTTCAGCTTCTCCAATATTCACTGCAGACATTTTACCACTTGAGGCAATCACTTTGAAATTGGCGTGCTCATCAAAAAATGTGAAAACACAAGTGGAAGGGTAATGTACGCATTCAAACAATTTGTATTTAACGGATTCATTTCATGGTTCAGATACATATACACGATATAATATATATATACCATTGTCAATACGGTGCCATCGTTTTGTTATCGCATTCGGCCAATTATTTGGAATGCTGTCACGGATCATTTTCACTCTGTCTGTGTCACTCTCTCTCTGTGTGTGTAGATTTTTTCTTCAAAATGTGTTAGAGATAGAGCGGATGGGATGTCAATGCTTTTTGTCGTCGCTCGCCTACGCCATTCGGTCAAAGAATAATTCGGCGAATTACGCTTTCTTGAGTGTTTTTTTTTCTCTTCTCTGTCTCTATCTAGCTCCTTTCCCTTTTCCAGATAATAAAAAGAGCGAATGGGAACAAAATAAAAGAAATCCCAGAGAAAAAAAAGGTTTTGCTTGTCGTGATTGTAAATTGGCTCTTTTATTAGGAAAAGCAAACGTGCGAAAAATTACAAAGTGCTTTCATCGACGGTGTTGTGTTTTTTTTTTCATTTCTCTCGCTTTCTGCAGTATAGTTTTTTTGTGAAAAACATCTGTAAAAGTTTTGGAAATGCAGAAGTAACCAAGATACTCGGTAAAAATGTTCAAGTAAAAATCCTTAATAAACATTTCATTTATTCACACTCAAAATCACTCGATGTTGGCAATAAAAAAGAAAACAGAATCAACGACACATTCCCTTGCCATTTGACGTGCGTATTTCGTTCTGCCTTTAAACTTTTATTAGTATCGAAATTATTTCGTACGATTTCGTATGAGAAAAAGAAAGAATGAATAAAGCTACAATTTTAGTATCGTTCACGTTGACTGTATGTGCTAGCCAACTTTTCCAGATGAGTGCAATGGACTGAATTTAAAATGTGAACAGAAAATGAGCAAAGCAAGATGAAAAAAAAACAGCAACTTTTTATATATGTATCGACATTGACATGGAACAAAGAACTCACTTGAAAATTAATATGTAAGTTGAAAGTGCGAAGCGATTAAGCTTTAAACCATTTTATGTGCTTGTGACAAGTAATAACACTATAAAAATCGAAAACTTTATTTTCGTGGAATTTTTTTTTCGGTTTGAGAGGAGGACGCTTTCGATATCCAAGGCCGCGATTTACGAACTGAAGTGTTATACGTGATTTTCCAGCTTTTATATGCACATCGCACCACAATATGACAGAAACTAACCAACATTCAACTCTGTAGAAAACACGATTTCGGAGAACTGTTTCTGTGTTTCAACTGGTTTGCTGCTTCTGCTGCACAAATATAAGACACACATGCTCATTGAGCGAGCGCACAAATCACAATGGCACACATTTTCACCGATTGTGTGTCGCAGAGGATCGAAAAACTTTCGGTGTGATGCTGTAATGCTCCTTCCACATTTTCAAATGGATAAAAATATCTTTACGGTAACAACGCATTCACATCAATGTTAACTGCTGTGGCTGAATTTTTATTGGAAATAGTGTCGCTTTAAAAGTGATCAGAGATACATTTTTTATGATTTGCGATTTTTTTCAAACATTTTTTAAAAATAATTTTCCTCTTTTCATGTGAAATCTTGAATCGAATGAAACCTTTTCTAGTGAAACAACCTCGAAATTCCGTCGCCATAAATGTTTTGCCCCTTACAATACAGGAGATTTTACAACCATCCAACAGAAAATACACAGAATGATGCTGAATCAAAAAAAGCGCGTATCATAAAGACAGACAAATGCATACACTCTCACAAAATGGCCCATACATACAAACTCGTCCGCACACGCCAAATTGGAGTGGAAAATTTATGTTACACACAAGACCTGTTTGGTTGTAATTTGCATGAGGCTGGAAAGAAACGACTTGTTCGGATGGAAGCTATATTCCAAGCACATTTTGGGGAATAACACAAACGATGCTTTCACAGATAAACATCGGGACATTTCGCACTCTCGCTCTCCAATATCAGGAGTGATTGCGCAACATCCTACATTACCAACATCACACTTCCACCTACATTTGTTTTATTCAGACGGATGAAACAGTTTCAACTGCATGAATGACTTTCAACGGCTCAGTTTCAAGCTAACGCAAAGCAATTCATCAATTTAGAAGGAAGACACGAAGAAAAAATCTACAGCCAAAGTAAAAACGAATACACTTTGAATCAATAGTTTCGAGATAATGCAGAGAATCCAATTGAAAAGTGGTTTACTAATAAATTTAAAATTGATTTTAATTAAATTGAAAATTAACCATGATTTCGGTTTTATAGACGGTAATCCAATTTGAGAGTACTTGCATCTTCTGCGTTTTCTCCTACACGTTTCGTACAAACTTTTATCCGCATTGACTTCCTTTCTCGAACCACACACTTCTGGCGATGGTATCATGTGTGGTATAATCTTGCAATTTTGAACGGTACTGTAGTATATGTATCAAAACCGCAGCAGCAAACGAATAACACGCAGTGGAAGAAAAGAAAAAACCAAAGTTATACTCATGAATTGATAAAGCACATGCCAAACAACAGCCAAATCAGAAAAAGTGTTAGCGTCATGCCAAGCAGACGAAATAAATTGATATAAATTGTATTTGGGGAGTGCGTCAAAATTACACATTTTACGTTATGCTTGCGACGAGAAAAACGTTCATGAACCGCAATAAATATTTCAATTTGACTTTCGATGACACGAAACAGAAGAAGATGAGAAGAAAAAAAAACACTGAAAGTAAATACAAATATAAATCACAGTCAGTTCAAGAAATTTTGTTGAAGCTATGAAAGATTCACAAAATTGATAGAAGATAAACTACAATCGCGTCGCATTTCTCCAATGAATATTTGCACATAAAGAAAGAAAATCTATTAAATTAGACGATTTTCATGTTGTATTGCGATTGGAACACATCCCATTCCATGTATATTATTGTTTTAACCGTTTTGACTTTAGCATTTTTCGCTTAAGCTTCGTGAACCTAAGGCTTTCTGGTATGCGCCAACAAAAAACGGCCACAATAATAAAATGTACGATAACATATGTTACATGCAGAAACGTTACACTCTTATCATTATTGTTGTATCCTTGTAAGTTTCACTGATTCAATCGTTTTTATATTATTTTTTGTTGTTGTTGTTCCGTTAGACACACGCAAGAGTGTTTAGAAACGTTTATTGAGAAATTACAAAGAATCAATATAAAAACGACCGCAATAAAACATGCTGACTACGACGGTCTGATCTTCATTCATTTTGGGCCAAGAGACTTGAGAAGAGAATAACAATCCGTCGCATTGACCACTTAAGTGGGACCGATATACAATTTTGCAAACAAAATACACATATTTAACATTCCATTCCAATGCTTCCCCAATTGCCATCGCATAGATAGGAAAATAGCGCTAGCCAAATGGAGGCACGCAAATACCATTGAAGCGGATTTATATGGTGGAAGAGTGGGGACTTTTGGCGGAGCGAGACACACACACACAAAAGAAGCGACGAATTGGAAGAGGAAAATTCCAACAGTGTCGAAATATAGGAAAAAAAATTAAAGCGCACATTTTTGACTGTATAAATATTTTCGTTGTTTATATTCCGATCTCTTTCTATCTTATCACACTGAGTGCAATAACACGATAGCGCGTGGAACAATGCGAACGTTTACGCTCCACAAAATCAACACACATGGCGATGCGTGTGTGCTGTTTGTTTGTTTTTTTTTTATTTCGTCTCAGGAGCGAGAAAGAGAGTAAAATGTGTGTTTGTGTCTTCGGTATCAGTTCCAACGATGTACGAACGCCGATAACAACGTAGTAAACAAACATATCATAAGCGGAGAATGATACAGAGCCCCTTTGTCTACTTGCTTTCTCATCCAATACATTTACTCTCTCAATGGAATGTGTCCATTCTCTCGTGTCGTTGGATTCATTTTCAGAGATACAAGGAAAAAACTTAGCACACAACTTTTGAAATAGAGAGAGAGCAGCGGTCTTTGTGTATTGGTTTTAGTGAGACAGCTGTGTGATACTGTATGTGCGATAACTAAATTACAACAATACAAACGTGTTTCGTTCGCTTCACTGACACACATCGCACTTGTGTGGGTAACGAAGCGGCACACGATCCATGCCATTCCGCATATATTTATTCTACACGAATACACAACACACAAAACATGTACACACATATATGTATATGCGAAATAAAAAGAAATATAACCAAAAAGAGAAGGCATTCCTCTATACACACTCTTGCAACAGTCTGTGAAATATGCGCTGATTTTTTTCCGTAGGATTTTCAGTGTAACGTTTGCATTTTGCGGGTGTACGCGCGCGATGTTGGGAGTTGGTTGTTATTGTGCGACAGAAAAGTGAATACAGAGAAAATTATTTTATTTTTCATCGTCAATGTTTTCTTTCAATAAACTAGTGCGTCGATTGAATTAAACGAGAAGTGATTTAAAAAAACTGTCGCAACAATAATTTTTAAACGGTGAAATGAATGAATTTTAAAAAGCATTGAAATCTTTGTGCGCAACCACAGCCAAAAATTAAATTCATTTCTCGGTTTTATTGTAAAGGAAATTGGTTCGCATCCTGCTTCCGTGTTTCAAATTAATGCGTCTTGTGTAGGAGAAATGGTGATGAAATACATTGTCTTTGTGTGATTTGATAACAGCTCAGGTGAATAAAATGTTTCATAATATAGAAAAAAAAAAATCAAATTGATTAGAGCAAAACGAAAAGAAAGCAAACGTTGTTTTATATCAGATAGTTTCGATTACAAAATGCAAAGATGGTGTTTACTTGTAAATCGTCAAGGACATCAATATTAGTCAATAAGAATTCAGTCGATCGAAAATTTGAACACATGTGTTTTGTGAACACATTCATAAAAAGAAAAAAATACAAACACAACTTGCTACGTGTTTTTTTCTGGGTTTTTTCGTTTTCGCTTTTTTTAACAGAATAGGAGAACCGTTTATTTTTCTTTTTCGCAATAACAAACGATTTACAAGTTTTCTATACACCAAAACATCGTCCATATCAATGAATTTCATCTCTCCGGATGCGATGAAATCTACGTGTGGGTCATTCGATTCATTTTTCTCAATTTTGTGTGTGTATATTTTGGTCGCTTATCAAAGCGACAATGCAACAACAATACCGCATCAGAAATTGAGAGTATTTGCACAGTGTGAAGATGTAAGCGGGTGAACAGAGAAAATTCTCTCACGCATAAAAAACCATTTAATCAATACGAAAAACTGTGACAGCAACAGCCGCAGCAACAGCAACAGATTCGGTTACATGATGAGCCGTGTGTCGGGTGTCGGCATCCATAAATACTCACAAACATACAAGTACCGAGTTCAGTTTGGTTCGGTTAGGTTGATGTTGCCTTACCTTTTTCTTCGTCTATCTCTCGCTCTCGTTACTTGACATTTATTTAACAAGTTTGAATTGACAAAAATGCAACGTCGTTTCATGTTTCCTTCTTTGATATTTGTTGTTTGAATTTAAGAAGAAGTGCTCGGGAAATACATCGCAAAATACGTCGTATCAAGTGAAATGAAAGAACTGAGAAAATAACAGAGACAGCGATTTTAACAAACGATTGTAAAGTAAGCTCGATTAAATAGTGTCACTGCAAATGTCGACCGATTGAATTGCTTCAAGTGTTAGCACATATACTAGAAAATCGTATTCCATATGGTTTCTTATTTCATTTTGTTTTGTTTTCTCTCTCTCTCTCTCTCCTTCTCGATGTGACGCTTCCGTATCTGGCAGTATTTTGTTTTTCTCTTCATTCATTGTTTCATACAGCAAGCGATTATGAAAATGATATAACTCGTATTGCTTTAATTGTTTTGTGTTTGTAAGTGAATTAAAGGCAAAAAGTGCTCGTACTATCAATTTATTATTGGATTTTATTAGCGTCGAATATTTGCATATTCAAAAATATGTAAAAGAAATAAGTCGATAATGGTATATACCATACGTATGTGTGTGAGACCGACGTGAGGGAGGGATATATGGTTTTGCATGAAATTGATTTGAAATCAAATTGAAATTAAGTTGATACATTACCGATTTTAATTGTTATGTACATAAATTAAATCATTAGTCAGTAAATGAGTTGATCGGTTCATATTTCGATGTGGTAATTTTCGAACCGAATATTCGTGTTATTGATAAATATGTGATTTTGATGGGTCAGAGTGTGCAGAGAAATATTATTATAAATACATTTTAAACATCACAATCCTGATTGTAAGCCAGCAATGACTTGGTCGTGTGTCAAGTTATATTCCGATTAATGAAAAAACACTTGAACCAAATTGTGTACATTGTGGTGAGCAGCAAATTAAATACAATAAACACCATTATTCCATTAAAACTATTAACAAGAGTTTATGGACACCCGCCTCGTGTTTACGATGCGCGACAGTGCGGGAGGCTTCATAAATTCCATGTGTCAGTTTTCGAGCAATAATCATTTTAAGAACACGTCATAATCTTCTTTCGGAAATGTTTTTGTCGAATATTATTTTCGACACATAAAAGTGATTGCAGGCAGGTTTCGTGTCGCCGACCAAGCAAGTATGCATCAAATTGATAATAATAATAACAAGAATATATTATTATCACTAATTGCTGCTTTCTCTTCCGAATGCCATAGACTCTCAAATTGTATGCGCTCACTGTCAATCGATGATTCCGTTATGCATTAAATTATTTCCTTGTCGTGACTCACTAATAGCTGTAATTTAAAGAACAATACCAATCTGCCATGACCAAAAAAACAAACAAACATCAATTGAATACGAAAGCACATATTCTATGGAAAATAATGGTGCAAACGTGAATTGTTGAACGAATTGAATTCATGAGCTACCTCGAATGTGAATTTATACATATCTTTGGATCATTTAACGAGTTTGGGTCAATTTCAAATTCAATAAATATAAATTTAGTAATGGCACACAGTGCACACGATTTACCGCTTCAATACACACATCCGAGACAAACAAATAAACAAACAGACGAAGATGACACTCGACATCTAGTTCTCAATTTTCCAGTTTCATTCGATTGTGTGCTAACACACAATGTACATTAAATTTGTTGAGACATGTACGGAGACTTACTTAAAGCAATGACGACCATCATAACAAATTGAATAAATATACCGAACGTGATAAGGAAATATGTCATTAGTTTTGAATTGGATGAGATCCAAACAGTTTATGCTAAAATTTGTTGTGACAGACTGAGAGGAACAAAGAAACAAACAACAACACATAGAGCGCAAGAATACTGGTGCATAAAAGGAACACGAAGTATATTAACACATCTTTTGAATTGCTTATAGAATTGTCTTATCGTTGACGTATTTTTTTTATTTCAAATTGTAGAATACGTCGAAGAATTTTCGATTTATATATGAAACATTGTTATCGCATACTCTCTCCCGTTGTGTTGAAAAAATCTCTGAATTTGCGCATATTTTATTCGAACAATAAAAAAAAGTATTTGAATTAAATTGCAGAATTATTGTTTGTACCAAACCTATTTATTCACCAAATTTGACAAAACGCCAATGTGTAATTTTCAAGTCGATGTGTTAACAATGCCATTATTGTGTACTGCATTCCATTTGGCACATTCAAAAGGAAAGTTCAACTGACACTAAAGTGAGTCGACATTAATTTTGCCGGATCTTTTGTGGTTGTTGTTGTTGTTTGAAAGTACAACCCACGCATTCATGAATATTTTATTGTTCCATCAAATCACACAAAGTGTTTGAACAATGAAAAAACAACGACGAACAGAAACAAAGCAATTGCGAATGACGAAAACCTTCAAAATCAAAATAACAATAAACTTGTCAGTCAAACAACACTCACATGAATTATGATTGAAGTAATGCCAATAAAGTCAACACCCGGCCAAATAACATAATTCACTTTCGAGCATTTGCATTTTCTTCTGACCACCGATTCCAATGATGGTCTTTTGCTCCTCTAGACCGAAGGTGCGCCAAACTTCAAAATTTTACCAATTCACATCACAATGGAATTGCAAACGCGCCTAAGCCCCAATTCCATTCTGCACGTGTACGTGTTCGTGTATAGCGCTAATCTTTCTCCGAGTTCGTTATGTGTTAGTACTTTAAAGCGGTAAAATAATACGTCCATTTGTTTGATTTCAATTGTTCCATGACTTTTGAGTTCGGAGAACTATAATCATCGTGCATGAAAGGATATGTTTTCGAAATTATGCAAGCACGACTGTTTGCCAACACGCGATTCACTAACATCTTTCCGTTTGACGCGTTGAGCACTTCTTTTGCTTTTTGCTCGCGAAGAAAAAACAATGGTAGTCAACAACAAAAAAAGTGTGAATGAAAACATGAAAATTTGCGAAAAGAAAGCGCCGTATAAGCCGCAATTGTAAATACAAGTTTGGTGGTGAAAAAAGTTCCATAGCATTGTTGTAAATGATGATGAGCTTGGAAAATTATACTGTAAAATAAAGTAAATTAGCTTTGTAAGCAAAGCTAACACGTGATTTAGCCGAACTGAATAAAAAAATTGTGTCCAACTAGCATATTCATAGCTTCATGCAAATATCTGTATGCATTGATAAAGTTATGGACGCCGTTGACTTTCGCCTCACCCCAACACCTTAACACTGAACAAAATGTATTCAATGTAAAGTAGAGAAAAAACATTCGTTTGGTGGACGGTTTTGTTTTCCGTTTCATTTGTGTCGTGCAAAGCGTCGTTTCTAATTGATTCACCACGCTTTCTTTCACATGCAAAACCGATTCTTTATTCGTCTACATCAAAGTTGAAGGTTTTGATTTGCTTTCAAAAGCCATAACTTTCCAGCTCAATTGTTTCATTTTTTTTTTATTTCTGCTTTACATATCTTAAGCCCGAGACCTTGAATCCAGTATGGTTAGTGTTGAGGGCAATGTGTTTTTCTAGTTCCGTTATATACACCGGCTAATTTGTTGGGCTGACGACAACGGAAAAAATGCGGTCGCATATAGTCTCCAGTACCATTGAATAGAATTATATTTGCTATATCAATTGTACATGTACTGCAAAGTCATTTCGTTGACATTTTTACATACAAAATTATCGCTGATTCAATGTCTATTGCCTACACTTAGCCCAAATGAGCCACCTTCGTGACACGTCATTTACGTACGGTACAGTGCGATTGATTGAATAAAAAGTGAAATCATTGGCTTGTGCATAGCATCATATCCCCTAATTACAAACACTAAAATAAAGTAAGGTCTCGTTTACCCTCGTCAATGGCTTTGTAATATATTGCTTTGATTGACGAAAATGATCGTGATTCAATGCAATTAATGTAATCGCACCTTTAAGTTTGACCATAATTGTGTGTTTTAGTTATTGCTCTGTTTTATTTGATGACGTCTAAACCGATTCTCGTATACAAAAACCACCCGTCACAAAACATCGCCTTCGATTTTGGCAATCATTTGAACATTTTTTCGACGAAATCGACAAACTGCAGTAAAGCACTTTATTTCAAGGGTGCCATACATACATGCGTCAAACTTATATACATCCGATGACTTGTGTTTAAAATAAATGTGTTCATTACTCATAAAATGCACACCCACAACCACGAAGTGATAATCAATTTCATGTGTAATAAATTACCCTGATGCAATTATTTCCAATCACGAGACATAAATTCACAGAACAACATGAATTATCGAAATCGAAATGAGCAAACCATTATCGCGTATTAATTGCTCTTTTAAAATTTCATTTAAATTGGCAATCATTGTCGAGGATAAGTCTTTATTTCGATTGAACGGGATTACGATTTTTCATTCTTTTCTTTCAATTTTTCATGTGTAGGTATTCTGTGTGACTGAATAACATCGAAATCGTCGTGGAAGGTGACGAGAATCGTCAACCATCTCCTGCCACAATAACACCATATCAGCGACTCACCAACGCACTACAAACAGATCCAAGATGTGCACAGGAGGTAAATTATTCAATCTAAATTTGATTCATCGCTTGAACATGTATTTCATCATGGCATTTTCATGTTTACACCATGCGCACAAAATCGATAATTTAATTTCCAATTCAATTGCATTTACAAAAATAGAATAGTTAGATTACAAATTGTCAACAATGGAAATTGAAGCGTACCGAAATGATTTCAGTTCAAAATTCTCTGTCGTAAATAAAATGGCAAACGATTCAAGTGGATTCAATGTGTAAGCAGTGCATTACCAATTCAAAATACACATTTTTCAATGAATCACACAGCAATTGTGAAATAATCATATTAGAACCACATGAGTGAGCAATTTCACACTCTTTTATTGAGATAATCATATTAGTGCATGGTGTTTGAAAAAAAAATACATGCCATTCAATTCAGTTTATTTGCTATTTTATGAACTTGCATTGGTGAAACTTTCAAAGTCCAACAATATTAGTTGAAATGTATCGTTTATTTCGAAAATTCGATAAACATGAAACCGCCAACCAATTAGTATCATTTAATTCTAATTGAATTGTTATCACTTTGATGTGATCAAAATTCAATTGAATTGGAACAGTTAGCATGATTATAATATCAGACAAACAACATTGATGAAAAACATGCAAATTTAAAATTCATTTTTTTTTCTTGTCTATATGTTCAGGTTGCTTTAGGCAGGAGAATCGGTTTTTACAGATTTTGTGGGGATATCGGACGTGGTAATTTCTCGCGCGTAAAATTAGCAGTTCATCAATTGACAAGAGGTAAATATCAGAGTTTTGTGTTTGTTGTTTTGAGTTTCGTCTAAAAATAGCTTTTGTTTATCCAAATTAGATAAAGTTGCTATAAAAATTGTCGATCGAGGAAAGTTGGACACAAGAGCATTGCGAATGCTATCACGTGAGTAATTTAATCGCTAGTCTAATCGATTTAAGCAAGCTCGAAATAATCAAATGTAAATTCGTTGCGGTGTACAGGAGAAGTTGCTACATTGGAATGTGTACATCATCCGAATATATTAAGGTGAGCACTCTGACCCTACTTAATTCCAAATTGAATATTTTTTCTCCGTCCATTTGTGGATTGGCGATAAAAGGTAGAAAATTTAATTTTCATTTAGCTATTATATCGAAACAAATATTAAATAGTAAAATAGGAAACCAAGGATTATAAACAATATCAAGAATGTATCCAATATTAAAACATTTATTTAAAAACAAATTCTTTGTAATTTTATAATAATAATAATAATATTTATTCACCGCCAAAACTGGCTGAATTAGTTTGCTTCATTTTGTGCAATGAAGTGGTTTGAATTATTTAGAATTGTAAGGAACTATTTTTTAGCAAGATTGAATTATATGAATAGCGTAGTATATCAAAGTTACACATACTACGATCTGGTAGAATGATTTTTCATCCATGTAATCATGGTTTTAACGTTAAGCTGATATCAACCACTACGCCATTAAAGCAAACATTTTCAACTAATTCAATGACCAAAGGGATAAATTCGTTTGTTTGTCGTCCGACAGTGATGAAACCCACATAAAGCTCTTTTGCGCCCACTTGCACACCCAAATCATAATTTATTATCTCACTCAAAAAGCTCATACAGAGAGAGAGAGAGAGAGAGAGAGAGAGCGAGAGAGAGAGAGAGAGCAGAACGTGATTTTCATTCGAATAATAAAAATTTGCATAATTTGTCATCTTTTAGGCTCTTCGAAGTTGTTGAGACGTTGGGTCGTGTTCATTTGGTAACGGAATGGATTCAAGGTGGTGAATTATACAATCGGCTTAATGACGGGCCCTTAAAGGAAGTCCATGCTGCAGTACTTTTTAAGCAATTACTTTTAGCTGTTCAACACATGGTATGTCATAAGGGTTATATTGTAGATTAAAAAGCTTTGCCAGACGATATATTTGACGTTGATTTTTCTAATCTTTTGAATGAATGCAAACATAGCACAATTTGAAATTCGTACATCGTGATATCAAGGCCGAGAATGTTTTGCTTGTTGGTGAAAACAAAATTAAATTGGCTGATTTTGGATTCAGCACACAACTTCTAAATGGTTCACATCAACATCTCGACACATTTTGCGGAAGTCCTCCTTATGCAGCACCAGAATGTATGAATTTTTCATTTTATTTGTTTGTCCAGTTCAAACAAAATAAAAGGGCATTTTACCTTCAATCATTTTCTTGCAATTTTACAGTGTTCAGTGATGATTCGTATGTAGGCGGTCCAGTTGATGTGTGGTATGTACGATTTGAATCTATAAAAAGAATGGAAACGTATATTTTTTCAAGAAAAATATCATCCCCAATGGTCGTGGCATTTTCAATTTCAATAGAGCTTGAATTAAATAGTAAAATACATGCTTTTTTTGTGAAATAAGACAAAATTTGTTTAACAAAATTTATAGGGCCTTAGGCGTTTTATTATATTTTATGGTGATTGGAAATATGCCATTCCGTGCTCCAACCGTTCCAGCACTACGTTCGGCTGTATTAAGAGGTGATTTTTCCTTACCGGCTACCTTGAGTTTACCCTGTCTTCGGCTACTCCGTAAGTGATTGTGTTTGTTCATTCAATTGAAAGTAAAATCGATAAAGCTAATCTAATAATAACGTTTGAATGTCTCTGTGTGACAGAGCGTATTTTAGTTCATGTGCCATCGCGTCGACCAAAAATCAACGAAATTTTATCAAGCCAATGGATAAACAACCAACATATCACATTAGAAAGTGCATTAGTATCAACGACATCGAAACCCACACCAGCAAATGGTTCAAAGAAAATTCATTGGTTTTCACGGAAGCGCATCATTAAACACTCGGATGCTAGTCAAGCCGATGCGAATCTAGTTCAATTATATTTTAACACCAAACGTGCAAATAGTGTTCTAGAAGAGAATTTTTTACATCCGATAAATATATTACCCGCGATATCGAACAACGATGAAGCGTCAAATGTCACAGACGGTCAAATGAAAACTCGACGACGTTCGATATTTGGTCACTCGTTGAAGAAAAAAATCGGACCAATGGAGTCGAAAAGTAATCTATTTAATAATCATCGTATGAATGGCATTGAAGACAAAATTTCAATATCACATTCCGATCAAATACAAGCATTACGACGAACTGTCGAATCGAGTTCGAAACAAAATAGCATTTCATGCGGTGATGATACAATTGACGATGACGAACAAGGTGGTGATTTTGTAATGGCACCCACAAATACCGACTCTCTTGATGGATTGCATCCATTGGAAATTGAGGCTCGGACAATTTTACAAAAAGTTGGCATCACAAGTGAAATGCTGTCATTGTCAATTGACAGTGGACCCCGCAGCGAGATTATCGGCGCTTATCGTATCGTCATATATCGATTACAAAGACGCAATTTTTTATCGAAACAACAAGAGCAATTACCAACACCAACCGAACCGAAGATGCCATTGACACGACAAAAAAGTGACAAAATGTGTGCCATATTATAATCATCATTTTTTTTCAGCAGGTTGATAGATGACATATGTCTTCGATAACATATAATAAATATACATATACTATATTACCAATTTAGTAATAGCAAGACACGAAGAGTGAGAATAAAAGGTCTTGAATACCCCTTCTATATTCTTCCTGTGAACAATTTTAAACAAAAAAGAACCCATTTCAAATGAGGATTTAGTTTCAATCCAATGATTTACCGGAACCGAAAGATTACATTAGTACCGAGTTTCGACACATTTTTTTTTAAATTAAGCAATGATCTCAAGGCACTACGAATACCAAATTTCGGCCTATGCACAAATAAACACATTTAAAATAATGAATGTCACAAAACGAACAAAATCATTTTAATTTTGAGCAAAAAAATATACTAGAACGCTTCAAACTCTATCGATATATGTTTATGTGTCTCAACCTCATGAAAATAGAAATATTGACCATAGATATGTAGTTAAGTTTTCAATATTGAAACATGCCAATCAATTGGCATTATGTGCTCATTCAAATAAACGAGCTTAACATTTAGTATTGACATTTGAAAGAAAACTAAGTGGAATATGAGCTCTCAAAATGTGTATGTAGTGAGTTTAAATTGAAAAAAAGAGAGAGATGAAGATAAAATCAGCTTTTGAAAACTTATTTTAAAAAGATTAATTTCTTAACAAAATTCTAAATGAAATTCCTTAATTCAAAATGTGACATATATTATTTCCATTGTGAATTGATTTTATATTGGGATTTGATATCATTCGCGATAAGATAAAAAACATATACTATAAAATATTATCAAATAAATGTAATATTTGTGAAAGCCAAATCATATTACCTGTTTTCATCCGTCTCCAATATTGATGTACAAATACCGGTCCACTGTTAGCCGATAAGGTAAGTCAATATAAAAATAGTAAATAAAATGCAATGTTTCCATCATTTATTTTATTTTTATTTCGAATTTGTTCTTAAATCTTTTCTTTTCTTTTTTGAAAATTGCATCCTTATTTCCACTTGAATTGCTAGTTAATTCATTTTTTTTTTCTCATTTCAAAAGGCTATTTTACAATTAATAATAATCCAAACGATACAAACAGAAACATTTTTTGTTATTATTGTTCGCTTTTTTCCATGTTTTTTCTTCGATTTATTAAAATATAAAAATGTAATTACGTAATTATTTGTTCTTTTTTCTCTCATTTTCGTAAAAGTTTGACTCGAAATATTTTCAAATGATTTTCATATATATAATCGCAAGGATTTTAAATTAGTTGCTCTTTCTTTCAAAAAAAAAATCATGTTGAATGTATTTTATTGCACCGAATTCATGTGATATGCGATAGCTTTTAACAAGTATAATTAAATTGCAGGAATCGGATTGGATGAAGTGTTTGGTGGATGCCATGATGTCTTAATTGATTCATGCAAATGTTCAATTCTCTTTTAATTTCAATGTTACGGAGTTGGTGTGGATGGGTGTGTGTGTGTGTTTTTTTAAAGGAAAATGGTGTGCGGCGAATTTCAATCTGCGAAAATTGAAATAAACTATGTTATTCATCAAAATTGAATTTTGAAAAAAGGTCTAAATTTTTTTGTTATTCTAATCTATCGCCAATCGCAACCGAAACCAAAAAGACCAAGTCAATTCAAAGTAAAAAAAAATCTCTCTTCTCTTCAATTCATAAAAGATTTTTTCTTCTTTATAATATTAATTGTTATAAACTACAAATTCGCGAATGAATCTCTGCTGTGTGCCGTTGTATTCATAAAAAAAATGAATTAAATCGAATATCAGTTAAACTAAATAACATAGAGAAATTGTAAATCAACTGTAATAAATCACATATCTTCGAATTATAATATGCTATAATAAAATATAAGAGCAAGCGGATGCATTACTGTTTACTACATTTTCAGTATCATTAACGGAATCAGTTTCTCTTTCATTCCGACCAGATTTATAAACAATATATGGTCGTATTCTCTGCATGTTAGTTTACAAATTATAAATTGATTATATGGAAAAAGCACTTTAAAGAAATTTAATGTCTAACTTGTTCTAACTAAATCTTCATAAAATAGATTCGAGTCCGTCTTTTGTGAAATATTCTTTGAAATGGTGGTCAGAAATTGGGAGATTTTAATGAAATTTTCATTGTTTTTTTTTATATTTTACAAAAATTTATTCTGTTTGCGTTGGGATTCGAAAAAGTCCATATTTTTTTGTTCTATCTTATAAAAGTTGCTACATTGAATGATTCTTGCATTTAGCTGTATTCACATAAAGTGCGCATTCATTCAAAATTGAATCGGAACTTTTCTACTTCATCAAATTTTCTTCTTCTGTTTATGCTGAACCAATTTCAATTTCGAACCCGCTAAAATGTTCTTCTGTACATATGTTTCAATCATTTTGTGGCAATAATAGCTTATAATTTAATGTATATATAATATATATTCTTTTCTGTAATCGTTTTGTTTTTCGTAAACGATACGGTACTATGCTAAAAGCGGATATGAAATGTTCGTTTAAATTTATTTTATTTTATAAAAGGGGAAGACATAAATCATTAGTCTTAAACATGATCCATTCTCTCTTTCGTTCGTTCGCTCTCACACTCTCTCTCTCTCTCTGTCGCACTCGCACTTTCTCTCTTACTCTGTATGAAGATTTCTTCTTTATATTAGATGATTTTATCAGCAAGAACAAAAAATCTTTATAATTATATTCCCAGTAAAGTTATGTTATTTTAGCAGAGTCAAAGTGGATAGGATTAAAGCACCAAAAGACGGTTCACACTAAGCTGTATAATTTTATTTCGAAATTCGAATTAGTTTGCTTGCCATTTAAATTGTGTTTTCATCAACCATTGTTGGCCTTCTGAGTAGTCGCACGGTCGAAGTAGTGGCGTTGATGGATCTTCAGGTGTGGCACGTGTTAGACAATTACCAGAATTGGCATGCTTGATTGTTCGTTCCTGTAACAAAAAAAAAAACACATTCATTGAAACATTGAATAGATCATTTTTTTGTTTTATTTCTATTTATTCTATGTTGCATACCTCTTCATCATACCGCCATTCCTGATTTCCTGTTTAAAAAAAATGTATTCCTTCAGAATCAAAAATCATTTTTATGTGAAAAGAAATCAATTACCTTGCATGCCATGGCATCTAACTAGCTTAACTGGTCCTCTTGGATGCGCAGCATCAAGACAATTATCGTCCGACATGATTTGATGGCGTTTCGTGTATGCAAACACCTAAATGCAAGAATATGAGTTTATATTACTAAATTTATGGTGAATTTACAACGAATTTTTACCTGATTTCCACCCAATCCGTGACAATAGGAACTGCCAATGGGTTCATTGGCTTTGCGACCCATTGTGTCAAGGCAGTTTTGTGTTTCCACATTTTGGATCTGGAATTCAAAAAAAAGTATTACAAATACCTTCATTTTCTTCGATAGAATTGAAAATATATACTTCTCCAAGGAAATAGTAATCTAGTGGCATTTGACTTTCTGGATAAATATTTTCGAGGTACCATCTGAAGCTCTTGCACTTAAGCCGATCACGTAATGCTCTTCGTTCGCTGACATCACCAGCGGACGCTTTTCGGGCTCCTACATTATTTACGGAACGAAAATAAGTCAACATTTAATTGTTAAAAAATGTGTTTGTTCAACACAATCATTCATAATATAAATGTTTTGACTATGGCATGCGTAATGTGTTTATGAAATTTGAGAACATCTTCCGACACCTTCACTTAACGCAGCGGTTTCATTTTCATGATTTTTTTTTTTTAATTAATTGAAAATCGCTCAGACGTGTAATAAAATCGGCCATAAAACACACGACGTCAACACTTTCATGCCCTTGTTCAACATTTTTTTTGGAATGGTTGCTCTTGAACAATTGAATGTATAATACTAATATTGCGGAAGTTGGAGGTTATTTGAAAATCATGAAGCATGCCAATTTTATAGGGAAAAATATTCAATGATCCCATCACCAGCCGGAAAAATGTGATAGTTAAGGTTGAGCGCATGCAATATGAATAAAAATGTTAAAAAAATACTAGCTATATACTAGGATGGGATGGATATGCGATTAGGAAAAATGGTGAACAAACAAACAAACAAATAAAAACTATTCAAAAACAATCCAAAATATATTCAGCGTGAATTTTGATTTCTTTTTTTTAGCCAATAACTAATAAATCACATCGTGCACGAGTCTCACACGGCAAACAGTGAATTGGTATTTTTGTGTACTCTCTCTGTGTGCGTGAGTGAATTAAATATGAACCTGGATTAAAACTGTAGTAAAAGTCCGCAAACTCGTCTAACCAAACTGTAACCAATCGCGCATTGTTATGATTAACAATTTGACTCGTTCCACCTATATATTTGTTTTACATCAAAATTGAAAACATATTGAACCACAAAATTTCAATGGATCGTTTTTTTTTTCAAAGATCATGTGCGAAAATTTGAATTACCGGGAAACGAGTATGGAGTAGCTTTACGAAACACGTGCCCTACTCGGGAGCACGGAAGAATTTCTAGAATACCGCCACACATCCACACCTTTTCGATAAACAACAGACAGAGATTTGCGCAAAATAAAAAAAAATAAAACGGTTTGTTAATCGTGTTAGTAAAATGAAATGGTAAATAAGATTTATTCAAAAATGACCTACGAAGCGCTGAAAAATGTTAGTCAAAAATGAATGAAACAACAAATCGGCTCTATCGGCTTTCAATTGAATTTAAAATCATTTTAAATGCACGCTTTTGAGCCAATATGTTTTATTGTATTAGTTGAATGTATTAGATCCCACTTGCATTTGATATTTGGATTAACAAGCAATCGTAACCACAAATGCATAGATCAAATAATATTATTAGAGAGTCGAATGATAAATAAGAATTATACAGCATACGATCATGCTAATACGATTAGAATTGACGCTACATTTGCCACCGATGAATTTACGATAGGACCGAAGTAACAACAGTGAGCTATTGGGAAATGTCAACATTCTCCAACAGTTTTTAGTTTACACAAAAACAAAACAAAACAAAACAAAATGTTATGAATTAACGATGATGAGTCCATGGAAACCCAGAAAAACAAAGTTTGTTTTCAAGTTGTTAATTATACGACAAAGTTTGAGGTTTTTGATAAAAAAAAAAGAAGAAATCATTAAATGCGGGCAAACCTGGACTCATTGCATAGTAGAACTCCTTCCTGCAAATAACCAATGGCATGATTTACATTAATATTCCATCTGAACGCATCGACTCGGATCGATCGATACACAAGAAAAAAAATCATAAAGAAATAAGAGAAAAAAATTAAATAAATGTGCTACCATTGGTCCAACCACACTTCAGCGACTCGAGCTGCGTTATGCAAAACAATTTTTGCCACGCCACCCGGGAACGTATATGGGCTCTTATCCCTAAACACATGACCTACATGCGAACACGGGATGATTTCTAGAATACCACCGCACTGCCAAATCTAAACTCAATTCAATTGGTAGATGTTGTTTCATTAGTTTTAAATAACAAATTTTAAAAAAATCTATCCTTGCTTGTATTCACAAATGAAAGAAAATCTCTATCAAAAATCAATAATGGTTTGTCCCTCTCGTTTAGAGAATGCGTTTCACTTACCCGAAATGACATTTCTAAGTTCTCGCCGCCTGTAATGTATGGATATTGTGTTAAATTGCTTCCAAAATAAATTGGTAATGGTTTAATCTTACCCCAAATATCCATGCCTTCATCGTAGCTTCCAATTTCATAGAAGAAATCTTTGTCTATGGAAAATAGTCCGCCGGCCATTGTTGGTGATCGAAGCGGAGCCGTTTTATCATTATGCCTTCGTTCCATTTCACGTTGTGGCACACGATACCATCGGAAATTTAATTTCCAATTGAATCCTCCCCATGTTTGATCCGATGCAGTTACATACTCGAATGTATCATCCGAAATTACATCGATAATTGGACACACAACGGTAGTACGATCGTTGGCAATTCGCGTGAGTAAAGGTTCTAACCAACCTTCTGTGCATTCACAGTGAGCGTCTAAGAATGTGATAATTTGACCCTGAAACAAAAAAAAAAACAAAAACCCAATTCAATTCAGTTAAATAACAAACACGAAAAGTATTTGCAAATTAAGACATACCGTAACATGTTTTGCTCCTAACAATCTAGCTCGTATAAGCCCTGAACGCTTTTCGGTACGTAATACAAACGTTTTAACCGGCAATGTTTTCACATAATTTTCTAATTTTCGACCCAAGTAATCACGTTCACTTGCATCGTCGACCAAAATAATTTCCTTGATTAACGGTCGCGGTGAACGATTTATAACACTCCATACGGTACGAAGTAATGTTGTCCATGCTTCATTATGAAAAACAATCACAATCGATGTGGTTGGCAACTTGTTTGGGTAATTTTTAAGTTTACAATCTGGATTTCGTACATCGGCCAGCGATCGATTCAATGAAATCATATCACTAGCCATTAAATTGAATTGATTCTCTTTGAACTTTTCTTTCATCAATGCCTGTTGCTCTTTGGGTATTACAACCGGTTTACCTGCAAACAAATAAACAAAATGAGAAATATGTATTATTATTATTTTTAAATCTATTAAATGCTGAAAAACATACCCATCTCCCCAGGACGGCCATATACACTTGAAACGATCGGCGCTGTACGCCATCTTCTTAACTCATTACTACGATATGTACGCGGAATGGATATAGCCCATTCACTGTCTAAATTGTTGTTTGTATCTATTTCATTATTGTCTACAATTGGATCATCATCCTCAGCAGGTGCGATTTGTTTGGACGCGCGCGCATGTGAAATCTTGAAAGAGAGAAGAGAAAAACGTGAATTAGCAAGATTAAGTCACGTGTATTTTGCTCACCAGCCGATTAAACGTGATCAATCACTGTTGTAAGTGTTTTTCTCATTGAAAAGAAAATGTGTTTAAAAAAAGTCGTGATCGTTTAACAAACAGCTGTCAAATTAGCTCGGATAATGTTGCAATTTTACCACAAATTACAATTGAATCGAGTCTAGACTAAATTGTTTTAGTTCAACATAAATGGAAGCTTACCTCAACTTCATACTCGCCGGGCCTTCGGCCTGTATTCGAGTTGAACAAATCAACATAATGCATTAAAACGATCACATCGATTAACAACCAAACGACGGACGTCAATATGATAATTCGGCATGTATTTGAACGCACTTTTCCTCGAAACATTCTTGATATTGTAACATTTGTCATTATTTCATTTATGAATGAAGATTTTATTTGTCGTTATCTATTGGATTAATTTATTTATTTTTGTTTTTCGCACTTTGTGTTTAGTTGCAATTGTTGTTGTTGTTGTTGTTTACTTTGGATTATTTAAAATGACAGGCATTGAATTTTAAAAATTAAAAAAAAAAACAAACAAACAAACAAAAATGTTACGTAATCAACATCAAATAATATGGTAGGTGTCCACTCTACGAACGAATGAGTCGCATTTTTCTTGTGTGTGTTGATTGATGTAATTTATAAAAATACGAATTTAAAACTAAAAACGCGTTAAATTGGTTGGATCTTATGCTTTTGTTTTTGTTTTATTTACACCTTGCTTTGTGGATTAGCTTCTTTTGTTCATGTTTGATGCGATTTTTTATCTGCTGTTTAAATTTCATGAGTTTTTATGTGCGTGCGCCAATTCCACCTACGACTATTTTAATGCCTGTGACGAATTTCTGCAAGCGTATTCATATTTCTTTTTCCTGCAAATGAAAAAAGATAAACGAAAAAGAAAGTTAGTTTGGCTGTAATAAATAGAAGAAATGTGATAAAATAGATATATATATTTAATTTCTGGTGTATTATGACTTGATTGAACTTAATTGCCCGCATAAAATATACGTGACATAATCGGTTTTAAACTGGTATCATTTTACTCTTCCTGTTGCAACATTTCGAATATAAATCAATATTAAAGCACCACATTTGCGGTGTCTGTGTTTTTTTTTTCAAATTCAAAAAATTTCAAATGTTAACTAGTCAATATATTCATCTGATAAGAGAATTGCCACACTTTGCTTGGAAGCATGCTTAAAAGTGACGACGAATAAAGCAAATCGAATCGTTTATATATATATTTTTATGTAGCATTATCTAGGACAGAATTCGTGCTCGTGACATTAAACTGTAAACGTTATAGTTTATAAACTTTGCCGTCCAAACGTATTCACCGTCAATTTGTGCTGTTAATCGATGCTAAAAACATGACCCATCAAATCATTTAATTGAATTTCATTATTACCTTTATATCGATAATAACGATCATGAAACCATAAACAAGGGCACCGTTTTTTTTTTCTTTCATTGAAAAAACAATTTATACGATTTTTTATTCATTCTTTTAATTTTCAATTGTATCACATTCTATGTTTTTGTATAACACAATAGCGTTGCTATGATTAGTAAGAAAGATTAAGCTCTTGAAATGGATTAGTCATTTCATGTGAAGCAATCCCTCGTCGAAAGAACCTTTTCAAATTGGATGATTTGACATTTTTACTACTTGAACGGTCTTGTCGTATACCATTTATAAGGCATCGTTCTTTGAACGATAAATAAAGCTCAATTTATAATTAGATTGATAACAATCCATTCGCCTTTATAATTCTGTTAAAATAAATGATTTATTTTCTACGAAGTAAGACCCAAAAATGAGCAAATTTTTTTTCTTCCGCCAAGTGAATGGTCAATGGAAGCCGTGCATTGGAACGAAAATGATTAATTACCAAACATTATTCATCGAGTTTTATTTGTTTTGTGACATTTTCAATTAGCATTACCGCTAACAATTTGAAATAAACATTAACACTGGTCCCACACACAAAAACGGTGGTGGTAAGTGGAGCGTACACGAATGAATGCGTACAAATGACTATACAGGAAATTGTAAAAAAAAATTGGACTACTTTGTAAAAATGTTCTCGCCTTTTTTCCGAATGTTTCTTTCGCGCGTATTTTATTTTTCTTTACTTCAATATTTATTGTATGAAAAGATATTTCAATTTTGAATATATAGCTATTTTGAATGTTTCGAGCATAAAAAGCAATTCATACATTCAAAAAACTGCATTGTTCGAAGAAATCTATTATATATTTTTGAAACAATTCACTAATAAATAGGTAGTGTAATCGAAGCTCTATTTTCAGTCTATATAACATGGTTTCTTTATGATTTCCTTTTTGCTTGATTGTTGAGTGTTTCAAAATAGAAAAAAGATATACACAAAATTCGCGCTCGCGTGGCAAAGAAAGTGACGTGTCTAGATTAGGAAAATTCGTCAAAGGAAAAAAAATGTTCCGTCACCAAATTGAGCTTAGATTACATTAATACAGTCTGTTTTCGTGATAAGATAAAAAGATCTATGCAAAAATTACAAGTCTTCCGTGATGAATTTGAAAAAAAAAATCCATTATTTCAATTGTTTTGTGAATTTCAATTGAAAGCGAAAACAAAATAAGCTAATAAACTCGTCAAAGAAATAAAAATGCATAAATCTCTGTATACTGACTAGTATAATTTATTTGAAGCTCAATGATCGTTTGCATCGCAAATTTTTTTTTTTTTCATTACATTTCAATGCGGTATTTCCATTAAAACCCAATTTCTAATTGATGAAAACAAAACGAGTAAAGTACATATACAAATTGAAAGCACTTTCCAAATCATACAGTATTTGTTGTGTGTATTCACTTGCAATTTGCTCTATATGACGAATCAAAAAAAGAAAATAAAACAATGCGAGGAACAAAAAACATACAAAAACACACAGAGAGAAACAACAAGAATGAAAACTATGCAAACAACATGCCAAAACAACAAAAATCTGTGTAATTATGGTAATTGGCCCAATTGTCTTAATGTTATGCATACTACATATATGTATACAAAGTGTGGCAAATGATGTAGCGTATAATACCTAATACGTGTTGCGTATGGTGGTGTTTTAAGAGGCGCGAAATGTACAGAGAAAAAAAAAAAAGAAAATATATACGGTAGATCATGTGCATCCGAGTTTTTAGCCAACATTAAAACAATTTGCTGGTTTGAACGTTGCAATGAAGACCGTATGAATGGCGGAAAACGGTAGAAAAAAACAGATAGATAAGTTTAAGTTCAGCTGTTAAGAGATCATAATAATAGAGTGGTTTTCGGAGATAAAAGAAAAATTGCCAAGATTTCATCTTGAATTTTATTTCAATGTCAGCGAAAGCTAATTTTCTCGCAATAATTTCAGTCAAATTAACGGCAAAATGCCGTTGAAAAGTCAAAATTTCCACTTCAATTTGTGATTACACGTACATTTTCTTTCACATTTTTTTTTGTTAGTTCGGCTTTAATTCATGGCCGATGATGACTTTTACCATTCCCATCACTGACTGATGACTTTGTTAATTGCCCACATTTCCCATGCTCAAAGAAGAAAAATAATAAGAAAATTTACATGTCATAATATTAATATATACACACTCTAATGATGCTTCAATTTCAAATGAATGAAGAAAAAAAATGGCGAAGAAAAAAACACAAATCACTGCATAATGTTTTACGGAAATTAGAAGCTAGAAATGCTACAGAAAAAATTGAGATGCATATGTATATGCTGTTAGACAAGCGTGTACGCGTACGTATGATTCTTTTATTCAGCGTGTTTATGCGCCATGTAACGGGCGATTTCATTATTCGGTTTGAATAAGAATATCATTGCCATGTTCATTCTTGTTCATAGTTTTATCATTTTGTTTTAACATTTAAACGAGTACGTCATCAACGAAGAAGAATAACAAGCACAGTGTATACACCCATGTGAATGAAATGAAATAATGGAACATAAACTGTGCGGCTGCTTTTTTTTTCTTCTTCTTCTTATTCTTCTCTTGATGGATTGTTTTCTTGTAATTTTTTCTTGCGTGATTTTGTGCCGTGTACACAGTAGCCGAAGTGTTCAAAATGTCAGTATGAATTGAAAAGCGTTAGATTCGCATTCAATCTTTTTATACATACAAATGACATTTAAATGATTAGCAATTAAGCTGCCAAAGTTTGTCGAACTCTGAATGGTATTCGGGTTACTGAATAAATAATAAGTTACGGCAAATGATCTATGCCCAATGCCCGACCCTAAATATCACGTTTTTTTTCTCTCACACTCTCTATCTCTCTCTCTCTCTCTCTCTACATAAAATCACCACATTGTTATTCCCATAGCTAAAATCGAATCGCTCAATTGTCACACAATAAAAATTCAATAGCGTACATTTAATTTCGATGTACCTTTCGAAAACGATATACTTTTTCTAACAATTTTATTTTTTTTTTTTTTTTCAAGTGTAATTTCAAGAAGTCAAAAACAAACACAACATTAACACCAAAAATGATAAATTACAACACAAAGGTTATTATACTTGCGTAATTATTTGGTCATTCTTTCACTAATAAAATCATGCTACAATTCGCCTTTTTCCTACAACAATGCAATTTTTATTTGAATTTTTATGGTTGTGGTAAACAATAAACACTAAACAGTTATGACTGTACAGTTTACACTATAACTTAAACTGTACACTTTATGATTGCAAACGAAGAAGAAAACCAAAGAATAATTCTATTTAACATCATTCAAATTGAGTAACACGAATGAATGACTAATGGGTTCACCTTTGTCATCATATTGAAACGTGTTTTATCCACATTGTCATATTGATCGAATATTTTCGTTTTAAGTCCAGACTTTCACTTTATGATCATATTGGCAATGTTCAATAGAATGCCGTACAATTTTTAATTTTCAATTTCTTTCTTTCCTTCTTCTCTCGTTCTCATTCTCTCTGCTCTTTTCTCTCCTTGTCTTGGTGTCAACTGCAATTCAACCGACTAGGCATATTTTTATTTTTCCATTGAAACAACTTTCTATCATAGAGTGGATAGTTTTGTTATCGTGTCTATGTCTATGGAGCTTGTACTACTCAACTGCTATAGTCACACAATATGGATGGCAATATAAATATGTTCGGCACAGTACAGACAAAGAAATATACCATATATACAATTATACATATATGTAGAGCCAGTTCAGTGCTACTAATAGCTCTCTGGATGTGTCTTTTCATTATCATATTACTCAGTCTAGATAAGTTTGCATGCAATTTTACATTTCCCGTTTGTAGTCAGCACTTTTTCTCTTGAATCGGTGATATCTAGTTAGTTGGAGCCGATGTTAAAATATGCTACCATCAGTATCAGTGTGTAAAAACAATATGCTATCTTGTAAGAGTAATCAATTGTGTGTATGTGTATGTATGCAGCATCAGCAAAATGCTGATTGAGACGCCTGCAACGTAACCGCTAATTTAAAGTTAAAATAGATTTTGTGGCAGCATAAAAAGGCAGCATGTACAATTAACGAAAAAAAAACAGACACTGATAGAGGAGTTAAAAACGGCGGAAAAAAAATCATATTCAATGGGCGCGCGAAAGTGTGGGATTGAATAAAGAGAAGGAGAAAAAAGATGCATGGCGGTTAGAAATTGTGTGATTACGCGAAGACGTCTCTTACATTCTGCCGCTTCTGATATGAATTCCATGTTTCAGTCAGACGCTATGATTCGGCTCCACTTGTAATTGAATTCACTTTGTAACGGTTCGTTTCACGGTGTACTCTGTGTGTGCGCAAACACGTTGATTTTTTTTTTCTTGTGCCCTTTATTTTGTTTATGGCGTTTTCCCCTTGTATTTATGTTTTTTTCGACGCAAGGCATTAATTATAATTTGTTTTGGCGTGTTTTGAGGAAAGAAAAAGAAAGAAATAAAATGATAGTTGAATAAATGTAAACTTTGAAGTTCGGCATGCACATTCGAAAGAACCGTACATCATACGGTACTGATTGAATGAGAATTTTGCTGAGGTTACTTCACAATGTCTTATGAACTTGTACTCAAATGCATTGCGATTGTATTTGCAACACATTGACTCTTTTTCAAGAGTTTAATTTTTCTGCGGAAAATGTATAATACATATCATCGGTTTATATTAGCCGCAGGGATGCCTCTTATGCACATTTACATGTTTTGCGTTATTATTTCGCAATATCATGTTTTCAACAAGCGATTTTTCATTGGATTCGATGTTGTTTTTTGTTTATTTTCATAATGAACACACAATTGAGCTGTTCTTCGATGGTTTTTTCGAATCAGTTCGATATAGAAAATGATTCAATATTGTGTGTTTTTTATAGTTCCGTTTGCGGCTCTTAAGCCATGCATATATACATATATGTATATAATTGCGAAAACAGGTTTTGCAGTCCATTTCGCTTCTATGGCATTCCAAGTTTAAAATCACATTTCGCCATTCACCATTACACTCTCACACAATCACAATACGAATACCGAAATTCGTATTCCACAAGACAATACTAATGAACAAAATATAATTTTCAAATGCCGGACCGACTGTCCGACCATAATTGCGTGCATTAACAATTTTTCAAATACTCTGTCTACTTTAGGCAATTTTCTATTATGATTTTTGTTTCTGCTGCTATTTAAAATTCAAAAAACAATTAAAATGGAATGAAATGAAGGTCGTATACATCATTATTGGAGATTTTCAATTTTAAATTCACGAATAAATATTAATTCAACTAAACTATGGCAGAAAATATGGTAAAACAATTGGGCCATAAATTTGATTGCACTGAATGTGTATATATTTGAAAATATACACACGCATACAGGCGCTATATTGAATTTCATGCTATGTATGCAGCAATCGCATGAAGAATTATGAGATAGCCCGTATGTGATGGCATCTATTTTTGCATTTTGCATCAGTTCACTATGTCAAACGTATTTATGACTCTTATCTCGGTATTCGATTTCTGTACTGTTGCGTATTATAAATAATGGAAAACAGCCGGACTTTAAGTATTTAAACAAACAACACCAACAAATTACTGTCGACACAAAGCATAATCATCTTTTCATCTTTGTCGTTAATAGGTTGGTTTAAGTTAACAATTCAACGCGTCGAATTGAAGATATTCAATTAGAGACGGCGTGAAATGAAGATGAGATAAAGAGAGGTGGAGTCATTCACAAATGTGCACAGTTGCTAGAGCAGTTGTAAGAATAAAAACACTTTGTAAACACACTTTTTGTGGGATGCATTTTACAATTATTTAAATGCACATGATGAAAATAAATATCAAATCAAACGAGGAAACTATAAAATAGAAAAACGCCAAATATGTACAAAAGCGCAATAGATTGAAAGAGAACCGAAAAAAACACAAACACTGCGAAGAGATTCTTCGCATCGTTTCCATCATTTAGGAAAATGTTGAAATCATTCAACCGAATAAAGATTGAGACTAAGAGATATTCGTATTTTAAGATGGGCATCACAACTATTAAAACGCACCAATATTAAACACATTTAAAAAAAAGATGGAAAGGCCCGTTTGTCGATTTGTGTTTTTCTTCTCTTCTTTAATCGCGAAATATTTTGCGTACACCAAAAACAACAATAAAACACTTCATTCGGAAAAGTGAATAGGACCGGAGAAACAGACAAAGGTTTTCAAGCGTAAAATAAATGGAAATGTCTTCCTTCTCTGTGAAAGAGAGAGAAATGGAAACATAATATATATATATATATAAATCATTGAGCAGCGAATAAGTTATTATGCACAAAATGCTGTTGTTCACTCAAAATGTTCACAATCACAGTAGCGCATTGAGCAATAAAAAAATCAAATTGTCTTTACTTTCTACAGCTCACCAATTAAGAGAGAAAGAAAACCGAAATTGTCTCACTTAGATATTTATTTCAATCACTAAATTTAACACGTCTGTATGTGTGTTACACTCTCCGGTGATGACGACGAAAACGTCGTCGGCTGCAAGATTGTTTTGTTTGATTAAGGCCACTTTGAATTGATTAAAAATTCAATATTTTTCACTATAGATTGGTTTGGTCGTTTCGTTTAGCAACTAAATGTAATGAAATACATAAATCACATTATCGCAGATGCTGGAATTACTAATTATATCACGAATTCACAAGCAATGCAGCGTTTACACATCGATTTATTTGCTTTAGAGTAAAAAGACATTGCAAAAGATTCGGTTGTTTCTTTGCTGATGATTCTTCAATGAACTACAAATTTCGAATGAATTTTTTATTCATTACAGATTTTATAAATATTTTTTAAGACGAAACTCTCGTATTTATTCAGCCAAAATGCCAGAAGTTAAATAAAAACAGAAATTATAAAAAAATATGCGAAAAACACCTGTACAAATAATACGGACCAGAGAGAGATATTCAATTCGTTTTCTTTATGAAGTTGACAAACACGTCGCACTTGCAGAACTGCCACCACATCGCGTAAATGTTGCCATCATCAATTTCGTTGATCTTGTTGCGAGTGTAGTTTATATTATGTGTATGTACGAATTACGGCTTTATGTGAATATTTAATGTGTACATTAATCTGTGTATTGGTTTTTGTTGAAGACGTTTCACATTTGGCCCTATGTGTGCTGTGTGTATGATTTTGACAGCTGTTCATATTCTCTTACTATTGTTGAACCCTGCACGCGTGATACGTCATTTTTTTGTCGTCAAATTCGAGTTGGATCGTTTATATACGCTTTAATTTGATATATTTTCTTCGAAAGAGCAAAACTTATTCAATTTGTAATTATTTTCAAAGCAATTTAAAAATGCTATTACTTTTGAAAATAATATGCTCACGTTATCCCAAAAAATACAATGAGTAAACTCAATTAATACCGGCAAACCTCAATATTGATTACAGCTCTATCTATCATCAAGTAGTACAATCATTTTTTTCTAATTGCGTTCAATTTCAAATCAAACTAATTGTGGATCAACGTCTTTTTATTTATGAAATTGATTCTTTTACTCGCAAAAATGTATTTGAACACTCGAAACAAATCGGAGAAAGTAATAAGAAATATGTCATTTTTGTGTATGAAACGATTAGGTTGTTAATTTCTGAGGCTCTTTTGTTTGAAATTAAAACAACTATTTTCTTCAAAAAAATCAATTTAACAGAAAAAGAAATATAAACTTTGAGTTGTTTGATCAAAGCCAGCTACTATTTAAATATACTCCAGTTTTAGTCTACAAGCATATGAATGTGTGAGTCAGCAAAAGAAGTGTGTGACGAGCGCGCTTATTCCAACATAGTGTGATTTCATTGTATGCGTAACTGGAACAAATGTTTGACATTTGATTGCTGAATCGTAAAGACGCATATTAGTCTACTGAATCTTTACCGTCAAGATGAAGTCGAAATTGCCGTGTTGTGAAATTAATAAAAAGTGTGAATGGATAAATAAAACGCTGGAATGTGATCACTGCGAATGCGTTTTTGAGAAAAAGGAGCAATTAGATGACCACAATCGCGAAATCCACGAAGTACAGTTCACAGGCAAACGAAAATTGAATTGTTGTGAGTGGAACGAGAAGAAAAGACAGAAATCTCATCATCACTCATGCTATTATTGCGAATGTAAGTTCCGAGTCATATTCCTGATCCATTCATTCGATTTTTTTCCATTCTGTTCCATTACATATTGATTAATTGTCATTTTTTTATTCTTTTCTTCTGATCAACCTTAGGTACGTTCCAAAAGAAAAATGAGCTAAATGGTCATATGGATTCCGTTCATAAATGTCGAACATGTCGCCAAATTTTGTTAACTGAGGATATCCGAGCCCAACATAAAATAAAACACGAGGAAGAGCAGCGAAAACGCAAGGAATTGCTGAATTTACAAAAGCAAAGAGACGACGATCTTGTACTCAATTATGTGAAAACCAACAAACTTGATGAATACAAAACTGAACCAGATTATGAGCCAAATTTCTATCACATTGTTAATCACTTTGACCTTGAAAAAGAACAATTATTGACATTGGTGAAGAAATTCGATGTTGAAGATATCCTTTGCTTTCGCGGCGGTTGTGACACTTTTACAAGCGAAGAAATTATCTACTTATTGGAAAACGATGCGGTGAGCGTTGAAAACGTTGCCGATTTTCTAAATGGTATGACATGGAGCCTTGGTGACGATGAAGTTGTGTCTGAGCTTGTTGAGTATTTTTTGGATAAAGAAATCAACATAAAACGAGAATGGGTCGCAAAAGTGATCAACGACGATGCACTGATTGAACGCATAAAGAAAAAATACACATACAGTCATGACGAAATATATGAAGCGCGACATAGAGATTCAATTTTCCCTGATAACGATGGATGGGATGAATTCTACGTGCAAGTTCATAAGCACTTTCCAGATCCGGATTTCGAAGATCCATTTGCCGATCCATACAGTCATTTCAAATGCGTTGTGACAGAACATGTTCATGATCACTTACACAACCGTTACTTTTATGACGAAGAAGATGATAAATTATCTATTGTAGTCGGTGGTAACAATGAACGTGAGATTTCACTAGGCAGCTGTAAAGGAATGTTTACAAACAATTTACAAAGTCTGATACGAAAATACAATAAAGCAACAGAGCAATACGACAAAGCAAACGATGAGGTCAGTGAGTTGTTCGATAAACGTGAAGAGGAACTAAATGCTAAATTGACAGAAAATCAAAAACTGGGTATTTTGGATTGTTATGATCACGCCATTTATAAAGATGCTTTGCCGGAACGAAATGAAATAGCAAATTGGGTATCGAAGCTGTATTTTGTCATTTCAATGAAAAAATCGGATACTGAAGTACATGCAACACCGCCATACTATGAACCGAATTCCTCCCTTGCTATGGAGCCAACAGAATAAAGTAAATCACAAAGAAACCTACAACACTAACACTATTGGTAAGTTCAAATAGCTTTTTCTTCTAATTTTCGACATTTTATTTGTTTTTCCAATTAATTTATTAATTCTCCATTTGCATTTTCAGAATCCCGAAATCGTCCAAGCAACGCAACGTGCTGTGTGCAAATCGATAATAAGCTACATCCAAAGGAAAAGGATCAAATGATTTTAATATAACCAAATCATTACGAATTAATATCAAAAATCTTTCCATTCACTTTTTTCGTCATACAAACATTATTTAATCATTAAAAAAAAAATAAGAATTAAGTCTTTATTTAAGTTTTTTCAAAGATTTGTGATTTGTACAAAGAAACACAATAGAATCAATGAAAAATGGTTCTCAACTTAAAATTAAATAGAATAAATTGAAAATGGGTGTCCCTGTAAGCAGTTGCCCCAATATTTCTGTTCGTTCAAAAATGTCTTTTTTCGGTGACACAATTTTTGTTGCAGATTTTTCGTACCTTGAAAGTTTCGATAATTAAATCCGAGTTGTGACATTGCTTGAACTTTTAAGAAAATGGCGACGATCGACATCATATCGCACCTATATAATGAACTGTTGAATCAGTTTATTCTTATTAATATTTCGATTGTTCTGGTTAATACAATAAAGACTATAAAAACGTAAGACTCTAATTTCATGAAAAGAACAGTTATGAGCTTTGTTTTACATTAATACGCAATACCAGAACCGATGATCACGTGAAATATCGCGATAAAAATGATAAGAGGAATATTTGTTGTGTGAAATCAAAAACATTTTTGTTTAACTACGTATTCAAAAAGGTAATGTACGTTAAATACGCCATGGGCAGCAACAGGTAATGATAAAAATTCTTCTTCAAAATATCAAACTCCATCTCAAAATATTGTCATGATAACTGTTATCAGATTATATGACCTGCTTTATATATCCCATGTCCGTTCATTAGACATTGTCGCTATTCTAAAAATACCCGGACCAGTTGCGTTATAAAAAAACATGTATGAATGTTTGTCAATCAAAAGGTATTTTTATTCGAGAAATTCACACAAAATGTTACACAAACAAATTATTAATTTATACTTATCATATAAAATGTATCGATATCAATCAAAAAAGAAATTGAGAATCAACGAAAATATATATAAAAGAGTTGATCATGTTAAAAAGTCCATAGATTATCACCTACATTCGTTTGAAAGTGAATGCGATTTTTGGCAAGACATTTTCGTGTTGAATATTTGAACACTAGATTCAGTCTAAAATGAATCGCACTGACTTCGGTGTTTTGCGCGGTGTTGGTTCGCTGTTTTTGATTAAATGACGAATTTGGTTGGTTAGATGTTCGATTTCCTCCAGTGCCATCAACACCTTTCCGGGCACCGTTTGTTCTTTTAAATCGATATTCTCCTTCGAATTATTATGGCACAATAGCTTCATTTTTAATGTTGTTTTGCGTAAATCACTTAGGTATTTTTGTGCTTGCATTTCGAATTTTTCTTCGGATGGTGTTGAGGTAGACATACAGGTTTCCACATTGGTAAAACTCTTCTTTGGTTTATCAATTGAATTCTCATCAACATCGTCAATGTCATCATATGCTAATTTTTTCTTTGTTTTTTGTTGTCGTTGTTGTGTAGGCGATTTATCGACATTTGTAGCGGCTGACTTTTTTGCATTAAAATTATTGAATGGGCTGGACCATGGGCTTAGTTTATTTTGAATGGTTTTAAAACAACTTTTCATCGGTTTGCCCAGCAATGTTTCTTTCATTGCGCTCAAATTCAATGAGATACGACTCGAATTCAACGATTCATTCATTGTAATTTCTTCGGTATTTTCAGACCAACTTATGTCTACCGAGTCAAAAATATTTTTTGCCGTGACATCCGAATTGTCTCGCATCAAATCCAACCAAACCGATAATCGAGCTGTTGGCCATTCGGCATATCGATTTTTCTGCCTATCGATGATTTTGACAACCGCTTTGAATACTTCGGATTCATCAGCCACCAAAGTCTGGACGAACTCATAGTTCAGACCAAGATTTCTACAGCGTTGTGTCGCTTCTTTTACCTGCGAACAAAGAAAAAATTCATAGTGGCTACATAAATGTTGAAGAAATATCAAAAATCATACCATTAATTGAGTTTCATGCATTCCTTCTTCCGTTGGTCGCTCCATCATTTTCTTGATTTTTTCACACAAATCCGATTCGAATGGTCGATACTCAAATATCGATTCCTCCTGATTATTTCGCGCCAAAATCTCTTTTTCAGCATCGATTAATTCTTTCGAGCATTTGTATCGAAATTGCTCTAGCTCCAGTTGTGCCACTTTTTCGTTGTAACTAAGTTCATGTTTAGTTCGTTCTTCTTCAATTTGCCGAAATGCGTCTGCTTGTTCGGCCATCAATTCACGTCGCAGTCGCTTTTCTTGTTCACGTAGTATTTCCTGATGTGCAGTTTGATAGTCAGCAATTTCAGTTTGTGCACGACGAGAACATTCGGGATTCGATACACGGAAGTAATGTGAACCGCCGATAACAATACGATCACCATGGTATATTTGTCGTTCGCCTTGTATCAATTCTCCATTTACAAATGTTTCACAATCGTCCATATCTGGTCGAATGAATAATTGGCCGCGTCGGTTGTCGATTTGACTGAAATTAACAAACATTAAATTAAACGTAAATGTTTTAAACAGTTTTAAAGAAAGTATTTTACACATACCAATGGTTTAAACCGACCAACGGTCCATCGAGCACGATGTCTGATTGAACATGTGATGTTGGTTTTGGTTTTCCGATTCGAACAATTCCTGGAGGTAGTATGTATAACAGAGTGCCCGATAACATTGGATCGGTAGCCAAGTTAATAAGACACGGTTGCTTCTGTGCAACTGACAACTCTAGCGCCAAACCATTTTGTTGCAATAGTTTCATTTCATTTTTGCACTTATTATCCGCTTCTCTGAGTCGCTCTCGCCACGATTTTTGAGCATTTGCCAGCTCTTGCTCTTTATCTCGTAATTGTTGTCGCAAACGCTCCTTTTCCACTTCATCATCCGGATTGGCGTCGATGGTTTCGATGATAATTTTTCGTGGCGGCGCTTCGACAGCTTGGATTTCTTGTCGTTTATAATACTGAACCTGGGCACGTAATCGATCAACTTCAGTGCGAAGTTTATGGATTTCACGATTGTTTGAGTCCTCATTCACTTTGACGCGGTTTACAATCGAACGTGCTTGACATGCATACCGTAACGTGGCCAGAGTTTCGTCAACATGTAAACTTGCTGGTGAGATTGTAGCCAACATAGCTGTCTTTGAGTTACCGCCCAAGCTTTCCTGTGAATTAAATAAATGCGGAAATTTGTTTAATACATTCTTTATATCAGACCATATTTGATGGGTATTGATGTCAAATACAAGCTTAACATATTGAATTTCAATCATTTGCTCATGCAATTCAATCGTACATTTATTTAATTACAATTTGCACGATTTATCAATTAAGTAATATATAATAGAATCCTACGCTGTATGTATTTCTTTATATTTGCATATTTGTAATTAGAATCTGAGCGATTTGATATGCTTGACGCAGCACACACGATTGATACCTTTTAAGGTGACCCGTATGCACATATTACCGATTCTAACTGAATTTAATGATTGTGGTTAAGAAAATATCTGTGGAATATTTTGTGTAACCATGAAAAATGAATAAACATAAACTACGCTATCTGCTGTTGAAGTAATCTACATCACAAAGGGCGTCCGGCAAATTTTTGTGGCTAATTTTATTTTATTTAAATACCATAAATTAAGAAATGAGCGGAGATAGACGAACAGTAAACAATTGACTCATTTACATTCTACTAGAATCTTTTTCTTTGATTGAGTCAATTATAGTTGAAAAAATCCGGATGAGATATTTTTGTTATGCCAAAGTTCGAAATTAACACCAAACAAGTTCATTGCGTATTTGTTCTATTTTAAACGCAACAAGTCGGTATCAATATCTAAATGTTTTTACGTCCAATGTCTGCATTTTTAATGTTCTTGTGCGTCAATTTGCTTTAACAAATTTTCATGTTATAAAGAACATTCTTATTTACGGCTTAAATTTACAGTGGTAATTTGAATTTAAATGATTTGACACGGCTGATGTCGGCTAATGTTATCAATTTTATTGCATTCAGAATAAACTCATCGTAATTTACTATATACATGTAGATGTGATTGTATATTCATTCACAATGGCAATAGCAAATGAATCCAATGAACATTTAGTACGACCAACTGGCAAAAAAAAAGCGAAGGGCACTATTATCAGACCCTAAAAAGTTGTGTGTATAAATAAATTGTTATCAAAACTACAATATATCGTAAGTTATAACGTTGATTTAATAGAGAGATTATGAACATACTGGGGCACGTGATTTTCCCAAATGGAAAATCACAGCTGGAACAATTTAAATACCAAAAATGGAGTCATTATCATATTTGAATTTGATTACAAACGAATTGCACACAGAAAATATTAAAAACAAAATAAATTGTAACACACCATAAAATTGTTAAAAGTAGAATTTCGCATTGATTCGAATTTTTATCTTGATTGCTGCAAAAATGCGCGATAATTATTTTTTATCAAAAAGTAAACTTAAAAATCTGCACAAAAAAGGAGACAATCAAAGCAAATAAACATTTTTAAAAAATCAAACGTACAAAAGCGACAGACAAAGAAGTATACGCATATTAACGCATTAAGCCATCGTTTACTGTATACATAGGCAAAATGTGTGCATGTTTGCGAGATCTTCGCAACTTTTTTTTACATTGTTATTGTTTACGGCACATTGAAAATAACACAGCACATGCAATATACCAGCAATACACAATCGTCGCAAAATCAATTCAAAATGCCGAAACGCGCGCGATAGCGTGGCATGTTGTTTTGGTTTTGTGCTCCTTCTTATTTGTGTATACGACACTATATATACAAGTAAATAGACACAATACACAGCAAGAAGGAGAGGTGGCTATTTACGTTGTATACATTTAACGATATACACGAGGTTACTTCGTTCGTAAGTTGATTGAAATACTTTCAGTTGTACAGTTTTCGTTGAAACGTACAGTTGTTTTGCGTAAAAACAAACACGCTATAGCCAAACACATTTTCTTAGTCTTGACATATAGTTTTGATTTTATTTTCGTTCTTTGTCAAGAATAAGCCATTTGATAAACGAATTTATATGGCTGTTTAAAAAGTGAAACGACAAAATGTCTTGGATGTAATAAAAGAAAAAAAAACTTCCCGCACTAAATCGAAATTCTACAAAAGCAAGAGACGAATTTAACGAGAAACAAACACACGATAAATTCACATTTTTTTTTCATTATTCGAAACCATTCGCTTTCTTAAGAGGTGTCAATGAACGGACAACATATTTTCTGTTTCTGTCAGCGCTACAACTACCAATAAAATGAACTAATATGTATTGATTGAACAAAATATTGCGATTGTATTTTGCATTGATCTCCAAAAGTTGCACAGTTTTTGCTTAATTGCATCTCGATTTTGCCATTTTTGTTTGTTTGTGTTCATTAACTTTGTATTTAACGTTGATTAAAGCTAATTTTTGCAAATTAAAACCAACTACAAAAACACGATAAAATCATGGATGTGTATAACATGTATGTCGGTGATTGTGCATCAACTTATCGAAATAATATGTTTCGAGACTATGAAAAACATCCATATGGTACATTCGAGGGGAATGGTCAGCAACCTCAACAACAACGAAAGAGCTACTATACGATGGTTCAAGGTAATTTTTAATTCGAAAAATCATACCATTGCTGAGACCGTATTTTGAAAGAGTAAAAATGATACGCAATAGAAAAATATTTACGTAGACGCATTTAATGTACAGCAAACGAAAATAATATGCGCACCTAAAAATAAATTTCACCACTGCCGCCGTGGACGATACACAATTAATCGTTTGATTTATGTGTTATGTTTTGCCAAAAATTATCTTTCGTGTTGATCAAAATTCCAGAATTTAACAAAATATAAACTCATATATAAAAATAGTATAGAGAGTTAAAGCGCCAATATCTAGTGTTGGGAGTTGAGCACAGATGTGTATATGTTTAGTTCACAAGTGTGTGTACGTGATAAATAGCACGGTACGACGGTTGTTTACAAGTGTTGCGTTGGTGCGTTTGTACCGAGCTGGCATGCTATTTTTACTCGTAATCCGATAAAAAAAGACGTTGTGAGTTTCACTCGTTGCAGACGATGTCTAACGATGCATGATATTTTCGCAAATACTCAATTACGAGAAAACATGTGCAATTTCATGTCATGCAATTGAAAATGGTTTTAATTCAAGATAGAGAAAACCGAAGCGAAACTCAGTGTTAGAATAAAATAAAATCGAAAGGCGCTTACATGAAAGAAAAGGCCTAAATATAAATGAACGCAGTTTTATTGAGAAAAATAACATGAGTGCGAACATTGAGGCATAATGATGTCATCTCTACTATTGATGTAATCTCAACTCAATTTGATATATAGTTTTTGCAATAAATAAGTACTTGTAATATGGGCTTGTCGGATTTCAATGCGTAGTTTTAATGATAAACAATGAATTTTATTTGTTTTACACAATTTAATCGACAATTTCTATGACGATTTGTCATTTTAACGTTACGTTTATCTTTTTACCTAATCTTCTGACATAAATGTCTTTATTTTTTACAATGCATGTCGGCTTGAATAAAGTCATTTGAACGTTTCTTTTGAGTACATCATTTGTGAACATTTTATCATGTGTCCTCTATTGAAGAAATGTGCATAAAAAATGTCTCCATTTCGTATTGATTTATGGATTTGATCTAATTTAAAGAAGCTCTTTGTAATTTGCCGGAAACACATCAAATTTATGAATTGTAGGAAGTATTGAGACCATTGGTCGCCATCTAATACAATGGCTTGTAGATCGTTGTTTCAAGAGTTGATTGCGAGGTCATTTTTTTGGATTTCTATTATCTCGTACAAGCGACTAATCAAACTAGAGATGATGTGTACATTTTGAAGAATATTTTTTTAGTAGTTTTGTAATTTTCGTTGGTGTGTTAGAAAATAAAAGGCGGTCACGCATTTACTGAGCATGTGCAGAATGTGAATAAAACTGTAAACAAATGCATACGTCACGTGCTCTCATTTCGAACGATATAAAGAATGGAGTGGTTGTTCGTGTCTCCTACACAGGCTCGGATTGCGCGTGTTTACATTCCAGCAAAAATGTGGAGAAAAATAAGTCAATTTTATTGTGATAGGTCATTTCATTTCATACATCTTAAATAAAAAACCGAACAACATATAATCACAATGACACCGAATATCTTATTAGAAAATATTTTAAATTTCATTTTCAACCTATAGCTAATCATGTGATTTATTAGAAAGTAAAAAAATGTATTGCCCTCTTCTGACATATTTCGAACAAACGGTGCAAATCAACTGCCTATTCAATTGAAGGTGACTCGCTACCACTGTCTAGTTGTTTTTATTCAAATGATAACGATTAATTCGAACGCAGCAAAAAATATTATTCATCACCGGTTTTTTTTTTTGTTCGGCTAACTTCTAAAAATAAAATTGCATTGAACAAATTTAATAAAATATACACGATAATTTTATGACTGACTAAGCTATTAATGATTTTATTTCATTCTACCATTTTCGATGACCCTTATTACGCATTAATAATTGAATATATTACAGGGCGATAAAAAAATGTGCTATGTAGACACGTAGTTTGTAGTAAGGCAAAAGATCGAATTTTGCCAAAGTTTTCTGTACACTCATATTTGTAAATAGCATTTGCAATGTGTTTGGGTGATTTAGTTGAACGTAAATTAAAAGTGTTTATTGACACATTTTCATTATGATGTTCAATCAAAAACCGCGCATGATGCGAACGCAAATTGCACAAAAGTTGATACAATTTCGGTTTTGTTGTTTCAATTGAGTCTATCGCCAATAAACACACTTCATCTAAATATCACACAACTTAGCGAAAATGAGAATTCTTACTAATTCTCTATTTGAATGAAACAATTACAAGAAGACTTATCGTGTGATGCATACTAATTAAAAATGTATGGTTTCATTTCAGAAAAATTGCAGCGAGCCCGAGAAATGGCAAAGCCAAAAAAAGGTTCGTGCCCATTTTGTAAAGAGGAGAAAAAGCGTCCATTGAATGTATACATGCGAAAGCGGTCACAGGAGAAAAACACTGGAAAAATTTGCGAAGAAGACGATGAAGAAGATCAATCAAAGTGCTGCTCGGGTTCGCACGATGAACCTTCCACCAGCAAATAGAATTTGTTTTTTTCCATCTTCAAATCAATTTCAGCGATTGCACTTTATTAACGGAATTGTCTTTGTGACACAATTTAATTTAATTAGTTTTGTAAGCGAATGAAAAACGAATTTTCCATTTTCATTATCAACAAAAATTTGATGATTGGTAGCTAACATTCTTTTAGAAGAATGTAACAAAAGACAGCTACGTTAAATCAGTCAATATTCACCGAATATACCAACAATTCAAACAAAATCATCTACAAGAAGAAAAAAAAACGATCACCAAAATTCTACAACATCAGTCAGCTGATAAAACGGTGAATTCGAAAGAAAGACTGATTGCCATAAATCATAAAACAAAACGTGTCGACTATACGCGTGGCGGCGAATGGAAAATACAGTTTTTTTTCTTTATAGTTTGTATGATTTGTTAATTACTTAGTATATATATTTTGATTATTTGTGTAAGATACAGAAATAATTATTGATAAGAACGCTTTGTCTACATTAGACTATATAACATTTATACATTTTGATAAAATTTTGATTTTTTTTGTCTTTCCGATCATGTGTTTTACAAGAAAAAAACACATATGCTTCAACAGAGATATAACAAAAAAAAAAAAAAACAAATACAACGCCATTCACCGTTTGAAGGTGTATACGAAGTTGCATCAAAATTTTTACACACACATACGCACTCTGTTATTTCATATGTTTTTTTTTCAATCATTTCGAATAAATGCTGATGTCTAATCCGGTTTCGCTTTTCAAAAGTTTGAAGCCAAACGAATCAGCGGTTTAGCTAAAACGCTCAGTTTAACTTTCAGTCTCTATTCAAATTTTTAGATATGTATATTAAATATATAAAAGCATATTATTATATACAAACTTATACACAATTTATTTAAAATGTTCAATTTTTAATGAATAAAATGGTATATGCAAATAATTGATTGGAATCAGTATTTTGAACAAAAAAATCAAGTTGTGTTCTGTATTTGTTTTCTTTCAGATGATGACGTTGTCGTTGTGTGATGAATCGTATTTCAGTTATACAATGTTGCTAACGAGCTATCTATATCAGCTATTACTATAGGGATATATAAATAGTTGCCATTTAACGCATCTCTTCGCTCGGACGCTGCGTATACTCGACATAACAATGGTGTCATTGCTATGAAATGATTTAAAACGTTAAAAGTATCAAAAAATGAGACCATTGTTATATCCAGCATTCACACCATCCGAGCAAAGAGATGCGTTAAACAGCAGCTATTTGTACCTATAGCAATAGCTGATATAAATAGCTAGCTAGCAACATTGTATGATTTCAGTGAACATTGACTGGGCAATGATGGAGTCAATTCGAAATGTGATCATCGATTTTAAATGGTCTATTGAGCAATACATGTCAGAACTGCCACTAATTCAGAATCATACATAACAATAATCGAAATATTAAAAAAAAAAATTGCCTATAACAAGTTCGACGCTATCATTAGCGGAGAATGAATAATAATATTACGTACTTATTTAATACACAGATACAAAGTGTTCCACGTTTTAAAATTTTTTAATCTGAATTTTGATATGCCTTCCAACGTTATCAACCAATACTCAAACCGTATTTGTTTTTGTGTTTTTTTTTCTTTGTAAATGCAATAACGCTTTCAACACAGATTCGTCGAGAATGAAGCCAGACGAATGAACGATTAAAGCTATTCATATTGAACAATTAATTTCCGGTTCGGCAATTTTGAATGAACGAATGTGTAGTTGCGGGAATGCGTGTGACAACACTTTTACCGCAGTAACCAAATTTTGTCGCTGTTTGACATCCGTTACAAAGTATTAAAACTGAATTTTACACTTGATTTACATCATTTCAAATCGAATATCCGAATATATCAGTACATTGTTAGTCAATTATAAAATCGATTTTATTAAATTCACTTGGGAAATTTCTGATCTTTGTTAAACTTTTTTTCTTGAGCAAACGAGAAAATTCGTTGAAATGAAGTCCAAAGTATTGAAGGGAATTTTTAAATCTGATTCAAAAAAATCAACACCAATTTCAAGTGAGTTAGTTTTATTCTGCATAAATTAAACTAATCAGATTAGATATCCAAATTTACGGAGAAAATTCGTAAAATTCGATATCCTATTTGAATTTTATCACATCTGAAAGTTTTATTACGCAAAATTGTGTTTATTGACGTTATTTTAAAAATACAGCAGGTGGTGTGAAGAAGAAGTGCTGTAAATGTAATGCGTGCAAATGCAAACACCATCACAAAACTATCGTCAAAATACTACCCGGTGCCTTTACGTCTGATATTTTGTATTAATTCACTATGCAAATAAAAACATTCATTTGAAGAAATACTTTGTTTTAATAACAATTGATATCGAGCATTCGAAAGTCATTAACTACAAGCATTCGAAATTTATGGTATGTACTAGCTCTTGGAATCTTTATCTGCGGAATTGAATCAAAGCATTTTTTCAGATAAATTGATAAATTTGTTTATGAAAGAGACAGATAAAGAAATCAACTTGGCGAAAGGTAAACTATTAACTCTTAGGGTAAACTTTTTTCTAACTAAAATATCAAATTGGAACTAATTCAAACAGTTGCCTAGTGGATTGAAAAATACAAAGCAAATCATTGAATCGTGTATTTCAAATTTCTGATAAAGAAATTTATTGAAATAATTTTTATTAATATAATTTTCGCCGCGAAAATTTCGCGTGCATGACTCCGCAAAGTTTGTTTTATATTCAGATAAGTCCAATTTTATTGATTGAACAAAATTACTACCGACTTTACAGCTTGTATATCACCATCTCATCAATATATGATAACACATACCGTAATAATTCTACCAAAAATGTATTTTGCTGAAGAAAAATGTATACTCACTTTTAAAAGCCATGTCAAAACTGATTCGCGATACGGAGCAAATGTGTTCTTCTTTGGATCTGCTAAAGCATTTATAACTCTACCCAACGTAAGTAAACTCCGATTAATACTAACGCCTTCCTTCAGACGTTCTCCACTTGCGCACGTTTGACTGACACGCTCACTGCCAGCCAAATCAACTAAACTGATGCGACTTCGTTTCGTCGTTAGTTTGGATGATTCGCTATCTAATTCGGACAACGTCAGAATAATACTGAAAATTGAATGTGATCTGGAACTTTTGTCATTCATGCCGGTTGCAGCGGTAGCTCTTTGGCTATTTCCGACTGCCAGCCAGTTCTTGAGTGCCAAATTCGAATCAACTGGATGAATATTCAAGTTTTCAATGTACGGTCCCCATTGTGGATGCTCACGAATTTGAAGTGCTTGTCGCTTAATTTGGCTGCTTGGCGTTGTATTTGGCAAATGAGTTGGTGTGACAGCCAAAAGATCGTGGATTTTTTCATTGTAAATTTCAAAGTAGCTAACTTCAACTTCGGCCGAAAATTTGCCGGCCATCTGATCAATTCGATAGAAGAGCTCATAGCAAAATCGCGGAATAATACCTGCTTGGCTATTGGGCTTTGAGTGATCATCGTCTGAAACAGAAGTGAGATTTAATATTAAAAATGAGATTTTTGGTTAGTTTTCGATGAAAAATATTTACCCGTATCAATTCCCATCATGCTGTAGCTCTTTCCGCTGCCCGTTTGTCCATAGGCAAATAAACATGCATTGTAACCTTCAAATGCCTTGTCGATCAGTGGCAAAGCGGTTCCATTAAATACTGTTTCTTGATTTGCATAGTTCTCCGTGTCGTCAGTGTCATATGAAGAAAATACATTATCATATGTGTACGATTCAACATTAATCCCCGATTTAACTTTGATTTCATTTGAATTTTCAACACTTATTACTCGGTTCACCAATGGTGTTGTGCATTCTTTTGCATTCATTGGTCGTACACGAACAGAGACCGTTAAATTGCTAACTTCACTATTTGATTTGCCATCATCAGCAATTTCATAACTTTTTTGAAAACTTTGCAGTGTTTCACAACTTCTCTTTGAATTTTGCGGTGTTTGTACATCGAGCAGTACTTTACTAAAACAATCTGGCGTTGAAACTACTTGAGATGATGCCGTACGATCAACAGTTGGTGTTACATTTCCAAATAGTCTTTTAGCTGCCGGATTTATCGACGATAATGAACTAAAGATACTTTTTGATGAGCTAGATGTTGCGCCGGTCAAACTATTTGTGGATCCACTCAATGCACTCGGCGTGGCTAATTTAACTTTGCCGGATAATTTTGCGCTAGCAATGAATGGTGACGAGGAAAATGCTGTATTCAAAACATCATCATTTTTATTTAGACGCAATCGCTCTCTTAGATCACATGCCGATGTTTGTTTAACCAGTGTGGGTCGTGCTACGGCCGATAGTTTTTTGGTAGTGCTCAATGTTGCGCGCGCTGGTTTGATTGGTGTTGTTGTTGATGATGATGGTGTTGAGAATTTTGCCGTAGGCTTTGAATTTTTTACAGTCGGTGTGTATCTTGATGTCATTTTCACTTAATTTTACATATAAATTAATTTTCGCTATGGTTACAGTAGAAAAATGCCAAAAAACGTGGAAATTTCGAGTATTTTTATGATCAAAACCACAATGAAAACCGTTAATACACAATGATTTGTTTTCTGTTCAATTTGACATACAAACAACGTATTGTGTATATTCTCCATACATTTCATCCATTCAAACATGTAGTGCGTCTAATGACGCCATTTTTGTTGTATGATGTATGCGTTAAAGCACGGCATTTCCATTGAATTATAAATAAATACATTGAAAAATGACAAAATATATTCGAAATAAAAATTTATTAAAAAATATCTTCAAATATTTAAACATAGAAAAGAATTTTCCGGATTTTTTTTCATTCACAAAAACGAAATATTCGAAATGTTTTCAAAAAACAAAACGATTGACGTGTTTATTTTGACAGATGCTGTATGTATGACAGTTCGAACGAATGCATTGTAGACCTCGTCCAAATATAAATACCAATGTATAGATCTGAATGTCTCACAGTTGCTATGCTCACTCACGAATGATTTGACTTGTCGCCGCGGCTCATTATCGAGATTTCATCTTGTCAATATTTAACTTGTGACGTGTTGTTGTACAATAATTATTAAGCAACATATTTACTGATACGTATTATTTTTCGTGGCATTTTTTTTGATCTTTTTTTTTATTTTCAAAGTTGCGTGCATTCAAAATGAGTGATAAACACAAAATAAAAAATGTTTCCGATCATAAGCCGAACACATTTTGGCGTTCCGTTGCTATCGGTGCTATTATTTTAATAGTATTTTTGAGTTTTCCACATCTATGTTCGGCTCATTCGCACGATGACCATCATCATCATCACCATCATGACCATGACCACCATCATCATGAAGAACCACCAAGCTTTAAGGTATTTTAATAATAACATTTATTTAGTTTTTAAAGAAAACATATAATTTTCATTGAATTTATCTTATATTTCAGTGGTCACAAGAAGCCAACGCGGCTTATGAAGATCATCATCATCATCACCACCATGGAGAACACGACCACACACACAATCACGTACACACCGAAAAAGCAACAAAATCTCCAGAAAGTAAGTTTAAACAATAATATTTTGATAAAAATGATTCGCCAACATGACTAATTTTGTCATTTTAGACGATATGGTTAGCTTGTGGACACATGCAATAGGTTCAACGTTGCTAATTAGTGCGGCACCATTTTTCCTCTTGTATTTCATCAATTTGGATAATACCGACGCCATGAAACCTAGACTTAAGGTTTTGCTTGCATTCGCATCGGGTGGACTTTTGGGTAAGTATTCAATTTCGATTCGATTTACAATAACAACAAAATTCATTCGTATCGTCTGTAATTATAGGCGATGCATTCTTACATTTGATTCCCCATGCTGTACATCCACACAGCCATCATGGTGACGGCGATCATTCACACTCACATTCGCATGACCATGGACATGAAGAGCATGGTCACGGTCATTCGCACGATATGAGCATTGGTCTTTGGGTTTTGGGCGGCATCATTACATTTTTAACAGTTGAAAAAGGTGTGCGATTAATCAAAGGTGGTCACGGTCATAGTCATGGTGACGAAGCAAAAAAACCACAAGAAAACAAAAAATCACAGCCAAAAAAGAAGAATGAAAAAAGTGGCGATGAATCCGATTCTAAGGGCAAGAAGTCAGAGGAAGAAGATTCAATCTCAGTGTCTGGCTATTTGAATTTGGCCGCTGATTTTACGCATAATTTCACAGATGGTTTGGCAATTGGTGCATCGTATTTGGCTGGCAATCGAATTGGTTTGATGACAACAATCACAATTTTATTACATGAAGTTCCACATGAAATCGGTGATTTTGCCATTTTAATCAAATCGGGATGTTCAAAGCGTAAAGCAATGGCATTACAATTGGTGACTGCTGTTGGTGCACTATCGGGCACATTAATTGCATTGTTGGGAACGAATGGTGAAGCAGCTCCATGGGTTCTACCATTCACCGCTGGTGGTTTTATTTATATTGCCACTGTTAGCGTTTTGCCCGAATTACTCGAAGAATCAACAAAATTGCTACAGTCGCTGAAAGAGATTGCGGCATTACTTGCCGGTGTCGCTCTAATGATTTTAATTACATATTATGAATAGACATAGATAGATTTTTTTTATGATGTTAACATACGAATATTAAATAAACACAAACTAAAACGTAAATGATTTCTTATTTCTTTCATTTAATTATGATACATCGTAATTCTACAAATTACTTAACAAAAGCGCATTTAAACACTTTATTTGACAACATAATCTTCTGGATAGTCCATAATTTTTGGGAAATTTTTAATCGTCTCTTCATCGTATTCGTCGATTCGTTTCGGTACTGGACGATCTTGTCTCAGTTGATTACTGATATTGGCCAGCATATCGGCTGGTATATTTGCATCGGGAAACAAATGAACGCGTTGCATTGTGTATCGCCGTTGTAAATTCGTTTTCATTGCACCGTAAACCGCGTACCTAAGAGTTGATCAGAAGAAAAGAATGGAAAAAATGGAAATTAATCAATGCGTAATGGATCGGAATGGAAAATGAATCGAAGGAATGGATCAGGAATGGTAGAGTAATGGAATAGTAATTTTTAAGTAAGTATGCCTCGCGCGTACCACATAACCTGAAAGAGATATCGAAAACGAATTTTGTTTATCGAATATTCAAATTTATATTTTCATTCGTGACTGACCTTCGTTTTATCTTTTTCGTGCAACTCATGGGCCAATGTCCATGTTGCCCCTCCAGCGTAGCCCGTGTGATGCAAATATACACGTTTTGTCCATTCATCGCCCGGCAACGCAATTTTTGATGTATTTATCACGACAACGTGATCCCCGCAATCAGCTATAAAAAGAATTTTTATTATTTCATTTTATTCATTGATTTCTATCAATCAATCTTGAAATGAAACTGAATGAAGTCAATATTTTTACTTACACATCGGATGATAAATGGGTTTATGCAACCCCTTCAAATGGGTGGCAATGATTTTAGCCGAATAAAATGGATTTTGCCATAAACAGTCATATAAATGCCAGGTTCGACCAAATGTAGCCCATTGCTAGAATTGATAACATAAGAGATGTTAAAAACTACTTTTTTCACTGAAAACATTCATGAAATATAACCTCAAATATTTGCACAACTCATAAATGTTCAATAAAATAAACAATAAGAATAAAAATTCGTCGCATAGCATACATTTTATAGGATATTTGCTTCTTCTTACCTGAGCTTTCTTCAATACCGTCATTTTCACAGAATTTTTCAACGAAATTTCTATGGAAAAACAATAACACCGAAATTCTGGTTAACCGTGTGTGTTGTGAGACTCACAAAAGTGCAGATATGTCAAATGGACTGAAGTGCGTTTCGATGCGTTCAACGTATATTTGTTGAACGCGTTAATAACGTTTCAAATTTGTTTTTTTTAATAATTTTACCTTATCTTTGGAAACAGAAAACGGAAATTTTATTTATCGTTTTTTTTTTTCTAGTTTTATATATTGCTCAATCTATTTTTACATTAGTTTGTTATATTATCCCAAATGTATTAAACGACTTTAATTTTGCAATCATCATCAGTCAGAGAACACATTACAATGCAAACAATTGAACATCAAAAATAACACTTACACTTGATATTTACTAAAAGAAATCCTACTTATTATGAACAAAATGAATAAATAACTGTGTTGTCATCACTATTTGGTCTTATCTTCTTCATCTTTTTTTGTTCTGAACGCTTCTTTAATTTGTTCCATGCAGTATTTGGCTTGTTCCATACCATCTGGATCATTGATGCGTCGAGAAGCCTTGTCAGCATGATCACATAGTCTCTGTGCTTCATCCAAAAGACCTTTCTTCAACAAAATCAAAGCCTTATTTGCATGATAAATTCCACTTTCATAAATTTCGGGATATGGACTGGCCAATCTCAGCGCTTCGTTAATATACTTCTCAGCATCGTCGAGGTTATTTACCTGAAGCACAAGAGATAATTTTTACGATTGAATTGAAACCAGAAATGTAAATTTAAAGTCTATGTTTATCATACGTGTAAAAAGGCAACAGCTAAATCATTAACAATGTTTATATAATCTGGATCATTGCGTTCACGAACTTCCAGGAAAATATCATGCGATATTTTGAGCCGTTCGACAGCTTCGTTGAATTTGCCATTTTTCAATAGGAATTTTCCGTAACTACAAAGCAAATTTAATAAAACTTATGCCATCAACCTATATTTTGACTTATTGCCTCACAAACTATTTGTTATTCCAGTTAACTCCTTAAGATCTTTGTTATCTGGTTCTTTCTTTCGTTTCTCATCCAATTTTGATATTGTCCACGCGTAATTGGTTTTGGCTTCATCCTTTTTGCCCTGTAGTTCAACTAATTGGGCAACTTTTAAGCTCAAATGAAGAATCTAAAGAGAGATAAGTATTGTTTAGTGGATGAAATTACTTTTATAAAAACTAGCGTCTATGAAGAACCTGAATGTCATTCTGTGGCACGCCCTTTTGCAATAGCCGTTGAAGCACATCTTCAAAAAGTTGTTCAGCTTTTTTATATTGTTGACGTTCAAAGGCCAGATTGGCCATAATATCCAAGCAAAGTGTGGTTCCGTCATAGCTCTGGATATTTTGTGCTACACGCAATGCCAAATGTGCCATTTGTTCGGCCTTATCATATTCACCTCGATTAATGCACAATATTGTCCGTTTCAATGTGATGACCAACTTTCCTTCATCCGTTGAGTCATCTTCAACTGGTAATTTTTTGAACAACAATGCAATATCTTCGGGCAAAATTTTTTCCCAAAATGGTGGCTCAGGTGGATTTTCTTCATCTTCTTTCTTTCGAAAGAATGATAAAAACCCAGGCATACTTGCGTAAGCAAACAAATGTGAACATTCTCTGGAACTGTCACTATTTCTTTCGTGATTTTTGTGTGATTGGTATTGTAATCCATTCGCACTTCTAGTTGTTCGAAGTAAATTCCGTGCCCTTGTAATATTAACCCGGAAAATTATTGATTTCAACATGATGTTCGTTTTTTTCGTTGATTGGATTTCTTTTATTTTGACATTTGAACAGCTGACAGTGACAAACGGATAAAACGAACGCATATTGGAGGTCGTTTTTGACGCGCGGAAAGAATTCAGTTTTTAAAGAGAGTTAAGAAATTTTATTGATTCAAAATTCGAAAGAAATGAAATACAATTTGGATTTCTTTTGAAGCAATTTGTATATTATGCGAAATATTCACATTTCAAGGCGAATTAAATCGATTAAACTAGCCTCCTCTTAGCAAATTGCACTATCTTGAATGGCTTATTATGAATTCTACGAAGCAAAAAATCGCTTGTGAATTTCGAATTAGCATGATGGGCCTTTATGCTAACTTTTATGTAAAAAAAGGCAATGTTATATTATGGCTCTTATAGACTATTCACACAGCAATGGTTAAGGACATATTTGCAATTAGTATTGTCAGTTTAAAAAGGCACAAAAATAAAAGGCAGCTTCAATATTGGTGCTCATAATCGAATGGGTTTAACAATAGCTGCACCATGATTCTCTTTTAAAAGATGTTTATCACCACCGACGCAAATATCCTTCAGCGCTGGCATACTTGCATCACGTTCCGTGCACGAATTTTCTTTTAAATCACTGTTTTCAGCTAAGCAATATTTGTTCACTGCATTTAGATACTGTTTGATCAATGTATGATCACCACCATTCGGACCTAAGGAGGAATTTAAAATGATAGTGATGATAAAATGTGCATGTTTATTTATCTTACCGGCTATGAAGGGGCATTTATATTTGTGCTTTTCTATATCCCTTATACAACAGTCCAAAAATTCCGAATTGGCTGAGAATAGTTCATTGAGAGAATCATCGATGGGAATGTGTTTTTTGGCACGCAAAATACCAGTAATCCATGTGTCATCAATCCAAAAGATCGACGTGTATGGTTCAAATGCGGCGGAAACTAGAGTTTTGGCTGTTTTTGGAATCGTAACATACATCCAACCTAATACAGTGAACAAATTATTTTCATTAAATAATTCATAAGTCGTTAGCAACTCTTGTAAATTACCAGATAAGTAATCAGGATATACATCACCGCTGAACTCATCTGTTGAAACATACCATTTATTTTGATGCTTACGAATTGGTACGACATGCCGGAAAATGTATCCAGCTAAGAAGTCACCATTATAGTTTGAAAATCGTTGGTTTTGACTCATGAGATATTCGATTAAATGATAAAAATCAACCACAATATCATCATCCATTTTAATGATGTATTTTGGATGGAGACATCGGTGAGACGATGCCCATCGAAGCCCCATCACATGTTTGTAAGGTAAATGCCGATAGGCTTCTTGGAAGTTTCCTGTAAAAAGTATAGCCACATTTTCATTTTTTCTGACTGAAAAGATTTTTTTTTTGTTGAATTACCTTGAACCAAATCGTTGAAATGACGGTGTTCACTCTCAATGGCTTCTTGTGTAATAAAATGTTCAGTATGTGGAATTTCTGCCAATAAAAATATTCGTACAACATTCAATTTACGTAGAATCGAATCGCTGATTGCCGTTCTATGGGCCGATCTAACTTCATCGTGGCCAACATACGATGTTACTAATAAAATAGCTGCAAAAATAATTCCACTATTTAATATATTCAAACATTTTTACCTTTTAAGGCAAAGCTATAGTTCAAACCTAATAGATCGTCGGTATTCTTGCAAGCATCATCGCTTGGTTGCAGTTTATAATGGAAATTTGTTAGATTTAATAGTTGTTGTTCATTGTTTAATCGACGATTATTTTCGTCGCCTTCTTCAACAACATATGCGACTGCAATGAACTCATCGGAGCTAACAACGATTTGATCAATTTGAAAACGCCCAAAAAAGCGATAATACACCATAAAAATTAAAATTGATGCGACCACTGAACAACATAGGTATCTTTTTATAAATCTAGACATTTTCCACAATTTTTGCTTCGGAAAATATTCGAATCACCCATCGATTTACATTTTGAATTAAATATTCATCACTTCTGCAGAACAAAATCGTTTGGTGCGTTGTTGTTTTGTAAACAAACGATTATACTGCAATGAGTGTCATAGTAGAGTTTGTGTGCGAACGTGTCAAGTATGAGAAAGTGAGTGCAGGGTTGAACACAAATGAATACAAAAACAATGACAGACATACCGGGTCTATATTCTTCTTCTGAATATCTATTTTTTCTCGGTAGAAAATCATTTTTTTTATTTGAAAATTTTGAGCATAAAAAACATGATAAGTAAAGATAAATTCCAAAAATGAATGCTCATAGAATAGTATATGGCTATGTGTGATGCTTCTTAGACGATGGTTGATAAGACGTTTGCACGACGATCTGTATTTTGGAATAAGGCACGTATCAAATGACGAACATCCTCTGCACGGAAATTCAATGTGAGTGGACCTTTACCGTCGGCCCATTGTTCAGCAATTTGCGCCATCGATGCATTCAATATCATCTTAATTTGTTGCAATTTCACCCAGTGCTTAACATAAATCGAAACATCCAATGGGTCCTAAAATGTTTGCAACAAAATAAAAATTAGAATATTCTTCAATGTTTTCAATGAATTTTATCGAATTATCTTACCGCGAACAATGTGGGACCTCTTTCGACAATAACTTCGCAAATGTTAACCAAACCATTGGCGACGGCCGATGATATATCCTCTCGCGCTACAACTTTTCGAATTATTTCGTCGCATAAATCATTTAGAATCGTTCCCAATGATTTATTGTAAACCAACTCAGGTAAAATGGTTTGCCATACATTTTTCAGCAGATCCAATTGTCGCATGCATTGACGAACGATTTTGTAGGCATGTGGTCCCAGTTCTACCATTGAATCGGTTAGATCTGAAAATATTCAATGAATTGAATGAAAAAAAAAAAAAATTCAAAAACAAAAATTAAACCAAATATTACCAAATTCTTTTAAAATTTCCATTAGCTGCGTGCGTTGATTCGATATTTGTAAGGCAAATTGTTTCGAACCTTGTTCTTGGAGACTAGATACGATACAGTCGCGTCGTTCAATTTGAACAACAATTCCATTCGAATCTTTACCAACGTTGTTCAGCCACCATGCCAAATACGAACAATTATTATGAAACAGAGCTGTTTGTTGTGGAATGGTTTGTAAAAATTTTCCATGTGCATCAATCGTTTCGTTTGCATATCTTTCAAGTATCATTGGAATTGTGGCTTGCAAACGCTCTTGAATATCAGCCAAAACATATTCTTCGACTTGTTTTCCAGATAAATCATTTGCTTCTCGCAACACTTTTTCCATCAAATCAATTAATTCGAATGTGTTGCGCGACACCATACACCGTGGAAATGAGCCACTTGATTTTGTTTCGTCGACAATCTGCATTTCGTGTAAATCCTTTCGCATTATATCAACGGCACTTTTAACAATGTTCAAACAGAATCGTTTTTTAAAAATAACATCAATTTTATCGGCAAATTCGGTTAATTTCGTTGCGCTGCTGTCGTTGGTGAAATTGTGATTTTTCAGCAATTGATCAAATTCTTTAATTTCATTGGCCAATTCGGAAATACTGAGACCTTCAATAGTTTCGGGAATTGCGTATGTTAAACATTCATTCACCAGCAAATTGTAGAAATCGGTGCCAATACGTTCGGCCATTTGTTGAAACACCCATTTTTCGTTCGGCAACTGAATGTTTATATTACTCAAAATATGCAACACTTTTGACAGAAATGTGAATACATGCTTATAATTTGGTCGCAAATTGGTCGATTCACCGTAAATGTATGGTTTTGTGCTAAATGACAACGTAAAATTATTATATTCGATGCCCAATCGATCTTCTTTCGAATCGGTTTTGTTCATGTCAAATGACACGGGACGCGTTATAATCGGCTCAAAAACATTCTTGATGAAAAATGTATACAAACGTTGTGCATTGAAATTCGTCTCAAACAGCATGTAAAGAATCTCTTGCAATGCTTTTTTATCACTGCTCACCTTAACCGTAACACATTTCGTATTTTGGAACACCTTCTCTTGTAATTGAACATACGAATTGAATTGTGATTGCAATTTATCCAACAAAGTTTCATGTTCGACATGCCATTTAAGTTTCATGCTTTGAAAACAGGCCAATTCACGGAAAATATCTTTATCCTCTTCATCGAAAATTGCATCGCGTAAACTGTTGATGGTGTCACGAATTTCGACAAATGATTGTTGTTGCTTCGCTTCGTCCAATGTTTGAAACAATGCATCGATACGCAAAAGACGTTGATTGACACGCAAACCGACACGCATTTCTTCCAATTCTCTTAAGTACCGCTGCACATCATCAGCGGCTGATAGGATTTCATCTTTTGCATCACGATCGATGCCTTCAAGTAATTTTTCTACTTCACGTGATAGACTATCGGCTTGATCCAAATACTCATTGTTCTCGTTGACTGCATCACTAAATTCCGTGTAATTTTCTTCCAAATATACTTTTGATTCATTTTGTAAATTTCGTATCTCCTGGTTGATTTTTTTTAGGCTCAAACGTGCATTCGATATTTCGCTCTCCTTCACCACACTCATCACCTCTGATAACAAACTCATTTTTGATGCACTAATACTGCAAAATTAAATCGAATAAATTAAATCAAAATTACTATTCAATAAAAGTTCGTTTGTTTTATTCTGTGTGCTGACGCACTGAAAATCAAAGAAAATATTGTTGTACACGGTTTGACAGTTGTGACGGTTTTTTTCGGAATTGCTCGGTTTGACATTTGGCGGCGATGGTTTGACGTTAATGCAGATAGAGTGAATTCAAAGGCTTTGTGAATTGAAAACAATCCAGCATGCATGAATCATCATTGTTTTGATCCAAACGAAGAAACCTATGCGAGTAAATTGAGGCTACTAAAACATAAACAAAGCGTCTTACGATGGAAATGAAATACAACACGATTCAGTATATTCTGGCATTTGGACGGAACAGTTTGCGTAAGAACAAAAAATGGATTACATCAAAATACTGAAGAAAATGGGTAAAAACTCAAATCATGTATTCTACAAAGGAGCCCACATACTGACCAAGAAGCTGTTTATCTTGAAAGAACACAAGAAAAGCATTTTGGAGGAAGGAATCCCGGCTGCGGCCATACGGTAAGAGAAATATAGTTTTTTTTCTATTCAATGTAACGATCGTGTTTTCCAATCGAATGTTATTTTACACAATTTGAAGGGAGATTTCATTGTTGAAGGAGTTGAAGCATCCGAATATCATTTCTTTACAAAATATTTTTGTGAATGCGGTCACGGTCACTCTATCGTTCGAATATATACCGATGGATTTGAAAACGTACATGATTCGATTGCCAAAGGATTTTGTATTTCCACAGGCTGTGATTCAAAGCTATTTGTATCAAATCGCAAGCGGCATTGCACATTGCCACCAACGTCGCATCTTTCATCGCAATCTATGCCCGCAAAATATTCTGATCAAAGCAAATGGTGTTATTAAGGTTAGATGAGCATAGAAAATGTAGATCATAGATACATTTCTTCAAAGCGATTTTTCAATGAGTTTTTTTCCATTAGATCACGGAATTTGAAGCTGCCCGTTCATTTGAAATTACGAGTAAGGTGTATACGCACAATGTGACCATGCTGTGGTATCGTTCACCAGAAATTCTGTTGGGAACCAGTCAGTATTCACCAAAAATCGACATATGGTCAATGGGATGCATTTTTGCCGAACTATTTCAACGAAAACCAATTTTCAATGGTGACTCCGAAATAGGCCAATTGCACAAGATTGCTGAGTACGTACAACTTGCACACAAATTCCGATTTCATCAATTCAATTGTATTTTCCTTTTGAAAATTCCAGAATTTTGGGAGCTCCCGATAAAAACCAATGGCCAGAAGTTGTGAGTTTGCCATATTATTTTGCTGGTTTACGAATTAATACGCAGAATCGTCTGAAGATGCAAGTAAGTTCTCATTTTATGAAGAAAGATAAAGCCACTGATTTAAATTACATGATTTGTTGTTGCGATTTTCTTGCAGATCAAAAACGCAAAAAACATTGAAATTTATTTGATGAAACAAATGCTGAAATGCAATCCAATGAATCGTATATCGGCAAAAGGCATTTTGGATCATCAATATTTTTCAAATTTCAACAAGAATCTACGCATACCGACCATTATTTGAGTTGACATTTCTCATGACACCAGCGCACCCTGCCTTTTTGCCATCAATTCCGAATTAAGTGACATATTGAAATAAACAACTCCACATGTATTTTTGTATCATCCACGAATAAATAAATATTGTTTCGATCGAGAAAAATTTAATTTGATTTACAGTAGCTAAGTAAAATGTCAAAGTCAATTTTAAATCGTTGCCTGGAACTGGTTGAAGATGACCTACCAGTAAACCTAAAATCTAAGCAATCAAAGAAAAGCACCAATAAAAAACGAAAACATAGCTCGATATTTGACCTGATACCAGAACAAAAACGCCTAACAATCACAACTAAAATTGGCAAAACTCAAATCAAACGTAAGTGTCTGTTGAATATTTCGAGTTTCATGTATTTTGATACTAAATGTAATGTCATTATTTCCACAGAAAAAGTGAATAAAATCAAAGCAACGGAAAAATTCACGGTGAAACAGGCCAAAGATAAAATGAAACAAAGCAAAGACCGAACAGAAGAGAATGTTAAACGATTATTGGCACTTGATAATGCATTGAAAATTGACGATGAAACAAAAGAATTGATGATAAGGCGAGCACAAACCGGTCACTATGTTATTCCAGAGAAGAAACAAGAGGAAGAAGAAGATGTATTCACCGAAGAAGATTTCGCCAAATTCGAACGAGAATATTTCTTCAAAACTTAAATAAAATCAGTTGTTTATTTTAGAAATCAATATTTACTAATAAAATGAAAAAAAAATAAACTTTTTTCTTTTTGCACATATTTTTTTGTAACTCAACGGATGAAAAAATCCAACCGTTGTCCACTTAATCGTTTTTTTTTTCTCTACAGTCTCCACTTGTTTATGGTGTTTCGTAGATATTGAACATAACCTCAAAATGTTGACATTCAATGGGTGCGGTGTCGGCTACATTTTATTGTTGCGAAGAACTACCCCAAAACAATAGTCGGGCTTGTTTTTCCACCTTATTAGTGTTTGAGAGGAAAAAATAATGAGCACAAACAAAACACGCAAAGAAGAAAATTGAACGCGATACGAAACAAAAAGAATTGATTGATATAAAGTAGTGAATTTTAAACGGATACCATGTTTTCGGTGTGTAAGCAAACACATCCGACAACCGGCATTGAACATTCAATAACTTGTCGATTTTTCAACAATTTCGAAGAGAATATTGTAACAGCTGGTGCAAATTATTTGAAAGTATTCCGAATCATTCCCGATGTGGATCCACATACAATGGAGAAATTCAGCGGTAAGTTGTGATGACAATAAAGACTCTCACACCCATGGTATAATCATAACATATGTATTTCTTGTGTAGATTTGCGGCCGCCGAATATGCATTTGGAGTGCGTTGCCACATTTGAGCTGTTTGGTAATGTTGCTGCCATTCAATCGGTGTCATTATCTGGATCACAACGAGATGCTCTGCTGATTGGTTTCAAGGACGCAAAATTATCGGTCGTTCAACATGATCCCGACACATTCGAATTGAAAACATTGTCATTGCATTACTTTGAAGAGGAGGACATAAAAGGTGGTTGGCTGGGTAATTATTGTGTGCCAATAATCAAAGTCGATCCAGATAATCGATGTGCTGTCATGGTAATTTACGGCAAGAAATTGGTGGTGTTGCCATTTCGTCGCGACAGTTCACTGGATGAGATTGAAATTCAAGATGTCAAACCAATGAAAAAGACACCATTGCAATTGATTGCAAAAACTCCAATTCTTGCTTCATACATAATCGCATTAAAGGATCTCGATGAAAAGATCGACAATGTCATTGACATTGAGTTTTTGCATGGTTACTATGAACCCACGTTGCTCATTTTGTACGAACCAGTTCGAACATTTCCAGGGTAAGACAAAAAGCCTTGTTTTCATAATATTTCTTGAATACCACTTCTCTTTCACTTAATGATTGCCATTTTTTCTGTTTTTTTAGTCGAATCGCTGTACGAAGTGATACATGTACGATGGTCGCAATTTCATTGAATATTCAGCAACGTGTCCATCCAATTATTTGGACGGTCACTAGTTTACCGTTCGATTGTACCAGAGTATTATCGATTAAAAAACCGATCGGAGGATGCTTAGTTGTTGCGATAAACTCATTGATCTATCTTAATCAAAGTGTGCCACCGTACGGTGTTAGTTTGAATAGTATCGCTGATCATAGTACCAGTTTTCCACTGAGTAAGTTAACTTTTAAAACAAATCACAGAGAACTTTTTTTTTAATTTACATGCACTACTCATTAACAGAACCACAAGATGGAGTAAAAATAAGTTTGGATTGTGCACAAATTGCATTCATTGGAGCTGATAAACTGGTTTTGTCTCTCCGTGGCGGTGAATTATACGTACTCACACTTTGCGCCGATTCGCTGAGATGTGTACGAAGTTTTCACTTTAGCAAAGCTGCATCCAGTGTATTAACTTGCTGTGTGAGTTTTAAATTGCATTTGCCCAGAGTAAATAGATATATTTAATGGACAATATTAATTTTAGATGTGCGTATGTTCGGAAGAGTATATCTTCTTGGGATCTCGTCTTGGAAATTCATTATTGGTGCGATTCACTGAAAAGGATGAGAACACAGTCATTACGATTGACGATTCGGACATTTTGGGCAAAGAAAAGGAAGCAAGCAAACGGTTGGAAGAAGAATTAGAAGTGTATGGTACTGGTTTGAAAACGTCCGTTCAATTAACCAGCTATACGTTTGAGGTTTGTGGTTCACTTGATGCATAATTTTTTTTCGATTTCTATAGAGACTATTTTAATCTGATATCTAGGTATGTGACTCATTAGTGAACATAGCTCCTATTAGTCATATTTCCATCGGGGAACGAGGTATTGACGAAGAAGATGAAAGCAAATTGGAGCAATCAAAACAGTCTGAAAAACCCGAATTGGAGGTCGTAACATCAAGTGGTCGCGGCAAAAATGGCGCACTCTATATACTACAACATTCAATTAAACCAGTTCTTCTAACTTGTATTCCGTTTATTGGTATGTTTTTTTTTTTAATATATTACCGTCATATAGTATTTTTGACGAATAATCAAATTATGAAATAGTTCGAAAATCATCTCGTAACTTGTAATTTACGTGGCATCTCTTTGCTATGTTCCATTCGATAGGTTGTCATGATGTTTGGACAGTTTTCACTGATGCTACACAAAAGTCGGCGTTGCATTCATTCATGGTGTTGGCACAAGAGCAATCGACCATCGTTTGTGCAACCACCGGCGCTGAAATCAATCAAATTCATAACAGCGGTTTTTCTTGCGATGAAACCACCATTCATGTCGGCAATATTGGACGTTACATTATTCAAATTCTAAGCCGAAGCATTCGTTTATTACAAGGAACACGTTCAATGCAAAATATTCAAATTGATAGCGACAGTCCAATTGTTCAAGTATCAATTTGTGATCCGTATGTATGCGCTCAAACTCAAAGTGGAGCTGTAATTACGTGGGCCTTAAGAGAGTCCAAAGGAATATCGCGTTTGGCATTGAATAAAAATGCAATCGGCAGCGTAAGTATCACTTTGAATTTAATGACAAAATTTTATATAGTTTGCATTCGGTAGCCTCCCGTGAAAAATTCCGAAATATTTTAAATGTGTTCTATCCCGTACACATGTAGTCGCCGGCCGTAATTGGATTATGTGCTTACAAAGATGTATCAGGTTTGTTTACAACAAAATTAGAGGATTATTCTGATCCGAATGCGAGTGCGAATCAAGCGTACAATGGATCAGGATTCGGGTATATGAAACCAGAACCACATAACATGAGAACTGAAGACGAAGAAGATTTATTGTACGGTGAAAGTGGCAGCTCATTCAAAATGAAGAATGTATGTATTTCTTAAGCACTTTTTTGTATCATTTAGAATGTAACAATTGATTTTAATTTGACTAGTTGGCTGATCTTGCAATACCTTCAAATACGAAAAAATCGGACTGGTGGAGACGACACATTCAACCGAAAAAACCATCATTTTGGCTATTTGTCATTCGTGATAATGGTAACATGGAAATTTACTTTATGCCCGATATGAAGTTGGCATACATTGTGAACGGCGTTGGCGAGGGAAATCGATATCTATCGGATTCCATGGAGTTTGTTCCATTGAGTTTGAGCCAAAATGGTGTTACAAACATTGACGGTGCATCCTATCAACCATGTAGCCTAGCCACAATGCCAACAGAAATTTTCATCGCTGGTCTGGGTAGTTTTGGTCGACGACCGTTGTTATTTATACGAACGAAAATCGGTTTGCTCATTTATCAGGTAACCTTTCATTCAACAACATAAATTATCAATTGGTCATCAATATTTTGAAATTAATTTTGTTCACTCAATTTTAGGTGTATCGATATAATCGAGGACATTTGAAGATCCGTTTTCGTAAAATGCATCATGGAATTATGATTCCAATGTCAGATAATCCGGCCAAAATGGAAATCGATGAAGATGGTCTCATTGTTGGAGTCACTAACCGCATTCGAACCGTTCGATACTTTGGTAAGTGTCATCAATACTCACTATATTAATTCAGACTTTTTTTAATAGCGAATTTCGAATTTTCATTAGAAAACATTTCTGGGCATAATGGTGTAATAATAACTGGTGAGAAGCCATATTTGGTGATGTTAACCGCAAATGGTGAGCTACGAACTCATCGATTTCATCATCAAGTTGTTATGAAAAGTTTTGCTTCATTCAATAACTTAAATTGTCAGGGTGGTTTGGTCTATTTTGATCACAATAATACACTACAAATTGCCAAATTTCCTCATTATATGACTTATGATTCACATTGGCCACAGAAAAAAGTGCCGTTAAGATGCACACCAACGATGATTGTGTACCATAAAGAAACTAAAGTCTATTGTGTGGCAACATATACGGAAGAAGAGTGCAAGAGCTATTTTCGATTCAACGGTGAAGACAAAGAACTCACCGAAGAAAATAAAGGAGAACGATTCATTTTTCCGACAAAACCCCGTTTCGAAGTGATTCTTGTCGCTCCACAACTTTGGGAAATTGTTCCAGACACATCGATAAAATTGGACGAATGGGAGCATGTGGTATCATTCAAAAATGTTCATTTGGCATACGAAGGTACACGACATGGTTTTCGTGAATATATTTGCATCGGAACCAATTACAACTACAGCGAAGACATCACGTCAAGGGGACGAGTATGTCGATTTTTTCCATTATATTTTTTTGTCATTTTGTTAAACGTCTTAATTGTGTTTACAGATATTACTTTACGATATCATCGAAGTCGTTCCGGAGCCTGGAAAGCCACTTACCAAGTTCAAACTCAAAGAGATTTATGTGAAAGAACAAAAGGGACCGGTTTCAGCAATTTCACATGTACTTGGATTTCTTGTCACTGCTGTCGGCCAAAAGATTTATTTGTGGCAACTAAAAGACAACGATTTAAATGGAGTCGCTTTCATCGATACAAACATTTTTGTACATCAAATTATTTCGATAAAATCATTACTTCTCGTTGCCGATATGTATAAGTCGGTTAGTCTGCTAAGATTTCAGGTATGAGAACATTTGGGGGAAAAAAGAAATGAAAAATTTGGATTTTGTTTGAACACTGATTTTTATTCATCGAACAGGAAGAGTATCGAACACTGTCTCTTGTATCAAGAGACTATCATCCGATGAATGTGCTGAACATTGAATACATGGTTGACAACTCAAATTTGGGATTTATGTCATCGGACATGGAAGAGAATTTCGTGATATTCATGTATCAACCTGAGTCCAGGGAGTCATACGGAGGTCAAAAATTGCTGCGCAAGGCTGACTATCATTTGGGACAACGAGTAAATGCCATGTTCCGTATTCAATGCAACTATACACGCATTTTGAACGCCAACTATGATAACAAGCATACTACATATTTTGGTAGGTTTCTCAATTATTTTTTTATCTCATTTCTTTGATCAATATTTAAGGAACAAAGCCTCCTGTCCGCTTAGGTCAATTTTTTGAATAAAAACGAATCAATTTCCATTATGATTCCAGCTACACTTAACGGTGGTTTGGGATACCTCTTGCCATTGCCAGAAAAAACGTATCGTCGATTGTTCATGTTACAAAATGTGCTACTGTTACACATTGAACATTTGTGTGGTCTCAATCCGAAACAGTATCGAACCATTAAGACAGCACGTCGCTTACCTACAAATCCAGCTCGTAGCATTTTGGATGGTGATTTGATTTGGATGTTTTTGTATTTGCCAATAAGTGAGAAACAAGAAGTGGCCAAGAAAATCGGAACAAAAATGGAAGAAGTTCTTGCTGACCTCAGTGAAATTAATGACGTCACCTCAGTCTTCTAAATTTTTTTCATCATTTGTCATTTAAATACTTATCTAACTCGTACTGAAGAAACTCTCAATTTATTTGGAATAATTTTTTGGAACTTTCACGTTTATCCAACAAACAATTTCGGACGATAAATTAGCAAAATAAACGCATTTAGATAATGTGATGTCGTTTTCTTAAAATGAATGGTTTTAGAAGTAGTGAAAGTTCCATAAATTCAGTCCGAATAAAGTAAGAGTTCATTCACTGCAGAGGACGTTGTTTACATATAAAAAGAACAAAATGTTCGAAATTATTTGAAAAAAAAAAAAAAATGTTTCTTTTTCCATTTTATTAGTAAATATCGATTTATAAAATAAACAACTGATTGCATTTAAGTTTTAAAGAAATATTCTCGTTTCAATTTGGCGAAAGATTTTTCGGTGAATATATCTGTGAGAAAATTAGATTTTTTCAAAAATAAACAGACATATTGAACACAATCAGCTGATTTGTATGCAATTTTACGTCAATTACTTTGTTCGTCGCTAATGAAATTTAATTGAATTAGTGATAGAGATGCCATGGGAATTTTCTGGACAGAAAGAATGGTTGAGACGAATAAGACAGAGAATGTGGAGTATCCGGATGCTATTGAACAACTATATGTTCGTGTGGCTCCCGTGATCGTTTCACCCGGTTTTAACAGCTCATAATAGAGGACACCCTTCTGATCCCACCAAATACAGAGCATTACCTTAGAACAATGAATACCTTGCTTGGGCGTTGATTTTGCTCGTTTACCGCGCTTCCCATACGATATCTTACGCTTCGGGTTTTCGTAATGAATCCATTTTTCATCTCAACAAGATTCATCATCTACAACTAGAAAGCGACAAACGAAAATCACAAAAAGTGGTATTGGGAAGAAGGTAAAATCGATATGGGCGCAGATACCAAGTGACTGCGATTTTATGAAAGTACATTGTTTTTTACGTGAAAATTTTCGCATTACAGATATCACGGGGGACGGCAGTCCCCCAAGTGACGCAATACCCACATACATACGAAATATGTATATTTTGCGTCACTCTATATATACGGTAAAGAAATGAAAATCGATACCGCTGACTTTTGGAAAGGGGTTTTTGAATATTTTAGTAGTAGTCGGGCATCAAATTATAAGAATCCGCATTTTTTTTTTAAATTCAAAATTTGCCAAAACCTCAAAATTGGTTGCTTGGGGTGTTTGTATGTCTGTCCGTCTCTTCTTTTAAATTGTGTGAAATTAGTTTCTTTCGAAAGTAGACTGAAAACTGAGCAAACTAATTTCTCAGTTCCAAAAAATTCGTTGTGTAAGTGGTTTTGGTCTGGGGTCGATCATTTTTGGGAGGCGGTTTTTGAGTTTTTCATCAATCGGACATTTTTCTGGCCATCTGTAAGGTACAACAATGATTTATACGTCGTTGGAAAGGAAAGAAACTCACCTTTCCGGATTCGAAGTCAATGATTCGGCGAAAAATGACCATGACTTTTTTCACGTGATCCAAATTTTAGAAAAATTGCGTACATGGAAAAAATAAAAAAAACTGGGAGTTTGTTCGGGACCAAATATGTGATGATTTGGCTTATGTGTCATATCTGGAAAAATTCGTTTTTTGAAAAAAAAATCATTCGAAGTTGAATTTTTTTTCGGCAAATTTTCAATTTTTGGCTAATTTCAATATTTTTCCAAACTCTCGAATGTTTTGAGTTCTTAGAGAGCACTCTCACTGGCTTCTCAGTGTCTCCACTCATTTGCACAACTTTCAATCTTGAATTTAAGTACCTAGTATTGGCTCAACCTTCATATAAATACCTCCTTTCGAATTAATGATTTCAAATCACATGCCCCTCTGCCAAATCGACAATTTTCAATATTTATTCAAACTCTCGACTGTGTTGAGTTCTTAGAGAGCACTCTCACTGGCTTCTCAGTGTCTCCACTCATTTGCACAACTTTCAATCTTGACTTTAAGTACCTAGTATTGGCTCAACCT